CGTCGTGGCTGCAGTCAAAAGAGCGAATCGACGGCGCAAATGTGTTAGGATTCGAATTAGAATTAGAATTAAAGTCGCTCCTCTCAAAAGGACCCAACATCCCACAACGCACATCCCAAATCCTAGATCCCTGGGGGGATTTTTCCAAGAACCATTTGGTTAACAGTTTCTGTTTGACTTTACAATTAGTTGGCCTGCTCGGGCGTCTTGGGAAGTCCTTTGTTTCTGCACGGCTTTCGATTTGTTCAGTCGGTCGAAAAGATGCAATAACAGATGGCCTTGGTAGGCCATCGAACAGTGCGGTACGAAAAGGTAAGGCAAAGAAGGGGTGTTAGAAAATTTCAAATTATTAGAATATATAGAAATAAACAGGAAAATAAGATAAATAAGAAAATTTTCGATATTTTCGATACTCTCACAATATCGATACGACAATATCGATGTTTTAAAAGGAAAACTTCTTTCAGATATTTTTACAAGCTTAACAAAAAACCTTATGTCAGTGAAACGCACCTTCCTAGCCTAGCTATCCCTTCTATTGTTCTATTGAATAATTGAAGCTTTTCAATCTTATTTAATTAAGAAACCAGGAGCTGGCCTGCCACAAGGATGCGTAGATGGACAGGTTTTCACAGGGCGCAGGGCACAGGACTCGTGTATAGATTTCGGCTCGGATCCTTTGGTCTGCTGGCCACAGACAGGGCCATAAAGGCGATTGGGAATTTGGCCAAGGGATTGCGATTGAAACTGGTATTGGTTGTGGAAATGGTGCCACTGCTCTGATAAGAACACCGAATAAAGTGAATCAAATTTGGATTAAATCGAACGCATGTGCCTGCTTTTCGGGGCGGGGCTTTCGATAAGCACACCGTTGCACAATGAAATTTCATTTTCTTGGAAGCGAAACATAAAGCAGGGCAGGGCTCCTGGTTCCCGAGATTTCCCAGGCAATTAAAAAATAATACTCGGCCCTGCAAAGTGTGGCTCTTTGTCGGCCCCGGTCACGTCAGCCAATTCACATCACATCAGTGCCAAGCTAGGGCCTCAATCATCGGCCAACTGCAGATTCTCATTCAAGCTCTAGGCTTTTGGAATCTGGAGTCTGGAGTTTGGGCGCCTGGACACTGGGAAAAGTGGATTGATGTGCAGCTTGAAACAGTCATTTTCCATATTTCTAAATTTATTGTGCAGCCTTCCAAAATTAAAAATAATAAATTAATTGTACAATTTTTACGTTTAAAAATATAATAATAAGATTAATTTTAGTAGTATTTAGTATTATTTAATATTAAATCAATACCACTCTTTTATAGTGCATATAGCATATTTTTAACAAAAGATTTATTTTTGTGGGTGTAATAAAAATTAAAAAATATTTTCCAATATTATAGAATATCGGCTACTTTGTCCACGGTGCAATGTCAGTGCAAAAATTGCAAAAGGGCACGTTCGCTAGTGAAGCGGACAAGTGTGTTCGCCCCTCCCTTCGCCTTGATTGATTTGCATAATTGGCAGACTCGGCGACAAAGTGGATTAGAGTCGTCCGCCCGGGCACAGAAAACACACTCGAGATTTACAATTTTGCCTTTTTCTATGGCCAACAAAAACACACATTTGGGCAGACGAAATTAAAGCGAAAATAATTAACCTTTTAGAAAAAACAAAAAAAAAAACAAGAGAAAACGCTATAGTCGAGTATCTCGACTTTCGGATACCCGTTACTCAGCTAGAGGGAGTGCGAGGGAGATGGAGATATGCATGCAGTAAGCAACTGCTTGCACTGCTTGAATTGCATTATTTGCTCATAACTTTTGAATGAATAGTCCGATTTGAACATTTTCTTCTAGCTTTCGATGGTTATTAATGTAAAGAACCCCGAGAATCTGCAAGGTGAATACCAACTTTCAAGCTTTTATAGTTTCCGAGATATCAGCTATTATACGGACGGACAGACAGACGGACAAACGGACATGGCTACTCTACGAATAACGGGTATAAAGAGTCAACCAGCGATAAAGAGAATGGGTAATTTATCTGTCATTTGCGTTTGATTAACAAAACAATACACATTAATGACACCACAAAGGAGTTGGGGTGCAAAAAGTGTAATTAATGTGCAATTATTACAATTCGATTTCAAGAGAATATTTATTTATTACTTTAAAGTTTAAGCCCGTCCATTGACACACAATTAATCAAAATTTTAGTCTTTAAAATTAAATTTTCTTCGATTTGCGTGTGGTCCTGTTTGGTTCTCTATACCGAAAGCTATGTAAATCGTTCGACAAAGCCCGCGGCTGGCAACTAATGAAGTGCATAATTTACAAACGATTACGATTCCCTTTGGCCGCCTACCATTTACCTCCACTGCCACTTCCATTTGTCTGGGCGCATTAAGTGATCAGAATTTGTTGCCTGAAACAGACACCCACGTCAGCTCATATCTGTACTACTTAAGCCCAATAAAGATGTGCATATTTTTTAGGCAATTACCAAAAGTTGGCGTACGCCTTTGTACTGATGTAACGCATGGCAGGCGAAATTATGATGTCGTTAATACAATTTCTATGCTGGCATGCTCGTACGGTAGTGTATCGCTAAAGCGGGCAAACCCCCTCAATCTTACATCTTTTAATACAAAACGATTCCAAGCTAAACTTTAAATTCATCAGCTATAAATATTTTTTTTTCAATTATTTCACATTCATACACCCAGAAAACAAAATGGACTAAAAAGGGGCCTAATTACCTAAAATTTTAGGAAATATGGCCAGAAAAACGCGCCAAGGCCATGCATTACCTAAAATGTTGTCCATGTGGACTATATTTTGTACGCAGTCTTGAATTTATTTCTGGTAATGGTTACCTAAAAAAATGGCTAGTGGACTAGATTTTTAGGTCAGAATTTCCTAAATATTAGGTATTTAAAAAAAAGCTAGGATTTTTACTATTGATAGTAACATATTTGATTATTTTAATTGCTTATATTGTATTATTCGGAAAAGCAAATATTTTATCTTTCTGAAAAAACAATCACTTTATTTAGTCCTCGGTGGGAATCGATCCCGGGTCTTCTGCGCGAGAGTCCAATAGGCTAGCCTCTGGTCTACGGAACTACTTAAAGGCCCTGCGGCAAAACCAAAGCCTGCTTCAAGGGGCTCAGGCGAATTCTATTTTTAGAATAGGGCACTATTACCTTAAAAGTAGGAAAATAGTCCACGTAGGTATTGATTTTATATATTGAAACTTTTCCATCACTAGCTTTAAGAAAAGTCTAAAAAATTTTTTAACATTAAACTTAAAAAACCGAATAATTTGTTTATTAATATTAGGGACCAATATTTGTATTAAGTTGTGAGTGATAATCGACTTTAAATTATTCCTAAATTTTAGGTCTTTTGGACCAATTTGAAGGTTACGATGGCCTATAAAAATCTCTTTAGCTTTACCTAAAAAGTAGGAACATAGTCCACATGCTAATATTTTTAGGTAACCCATTACCTAAATCTGAAATTTTAGTCTATTTAAATTTTTTAGGTCATACGTTACCTAAAAAATAGTCCCACATTTCTCTGGGTGTACAGATATTTAAGACATATTATTTAGTTATTAAATTTAAGATGTTTAATGACTTTTTAGAACAAAATTTAAGACCGCATTAAATTGTTTTTACGATTTTCGTTTTCAGAATTTAAAAACTAATAAAATAACTCTTATTTTCTGCCCCTAAAATAATCTTCTTAAACTTTCTGTTAATTTCAATTGTATTTGCATACTGTAAGGCATATCCCCACATCAAATATCCACTGTAATCCCCATCAAGCCCCTTTATGTTTCACTACACGCATCCTAAATCAATTACGACGAGCAGGACAACAGCAGATAAGAGCCATGATGTTGGCCACGATGTGCGTGTGCCAGTATCTCTTGGCACAATTTCAATGGTTTTTTGTTCGAGCACTGTGTGTGTGTGGGGACACCTGTAGCACAGCACCGTCTGGCTAAGGACCTTCTAGGAAAATGTAGAAGAAATACAACCACAGGCTGGCAGACACTTGATAAGAAATCTCGTGGGACAACGGAAAGTCACTGACAAAGTGAAAGTGAATTAAAAATATTTTTGCAAAACAGATCCCGGCAGTTAATCCTTTTAAAAAAGTTTGCCTAACTAATTGAGCACACAAATCAAATGGCGGCCAAAACAGCGTTAGGCCAAAAGAATAACAAAAACAATAAGGCCAAGAAAAAAAGAAAAAACCAAGGCCAAACAATAACAAAGGCTAATTAAAACCATAACAAAGAATTGGCGACAAGGAAAACCAGAGTTTTTGGTGGGAGTAAATGGAAAAGTGGCCCAGAGGTTAGAGGTTCGAGGGCAAAAGTTCTGAAAGAACTTTTCCAAGACGTTCAAAATTACCGCCAAAAGTTTTAAAAAGCTCACACCAAACAGTATGCTTTTAAGCTGATTAATAGTATTAAAAAAAAAAAATATTTTTGTTTAATGAAATTTTAATAATATTAATTTTTAATATTCAATTTATTTATTTTAACCTAATATTCAATTATTTCACTAATATATTTTTACTATTATGTATTCAATTAAATAATATATATTTTTTTATGCAATCTATTCATTTTAAATTAATTTATTTGATTTTTTATTTAATTTACATCGTGTGATGTCACTTGGTTGATCTGCCTGCAGTTCTGAAAGTTTCAACAGATGGCGCTAGAAAAATTCGTAATTATGGTCAACAGGTGGCGTAAGAAAATAAATTATATCATTTGAATTTAAATTACAGATTGTATGAAATTGCAACAAAAAAAAGGGATTCCTCTTAGTTTAAAATACATTTTTACAAATAAATAAAATATTTAATGAATGTTTTTATAATTTATTAAATAAAAAGCTCTGCGAAATACATCTGATAATATTATAAAGTTGTCTTTTCGAAAACCCCTTTTTCGTACACCACCCAAATAATAACACACTTTTTCAATTTTTTTGTCTTTGTTGAACATTTACTTGCAGACACATACATACTTTTTCATCTTTTAACTTACATACGTTGCGTAATATTCAATGGATTTCTGCTAATTTGATTTACTTATAGGAGAACTTTACTAGTAAATACTGCAATAGCACTAAACAAAAATTTACTAACTTAAAAACAATTGATGGAAATATATGATGCAAAAGTTGTTTGTTTTGTTTTCCGGTACGAATACGTTTAGAAAAGAATTAATTCCGTAATAATAGGATATAAACACAGATATTTTGTAGTTGTAGTTGACTTAAAAATATTGGATCGAGACCCTAAGTGGCATTCTGAAATTTTTCGTATTTCTCTGGCGGGCTTTTTCATCTTCTTTAAAATAAAAAAAAAACGCGGTTTGTGTGTGTGTTACCGTTTTGTTTCTGTCGTAGTGTATAAATTACAATTAATGATTTTTCGGGTTGTGTTTTGGTTTCAGTTTGGGGAATAGCATATATAATTATATATCGCGGACCAGCAGCAGCAGCAGCTTACGCCTCCTTCTTGTGCTTGAACTTGTTCTTGAGGAGGCCGGGCAGCAAGGATGCGCAGGCGCAGATCATCAGGATGCCCATCGAGGTCCAGGAGAAGGCCTCGCTCGAGCTAGTCATCTTCTGGAGCGTCTTGCCCGCCTGAATGGCAATCACCGAGGGCGGGGCGACGCCGCAAAAGGTGCCCAGGGCGAAGATGTGCAGCGGGACTCCGATCACCGGCGACGCCAGGTTGATGAACCAATTGGGCAGGATCGGGGTCATGCGCAGGAACAGCATATAGTTGAACAGGCTGTCCCGATACTCCTCCACATGCTTCGACCACTCGCTGGTCTTCTTGGGCCAAAAGTGACGGATGAGCCGGCGGCCGACCAGATTGGAAAGTGTATAGCATAGGGTGGCTCCCAGCGCCGAGCAGAAACAGATGAGGAACAGGGCGATCGGGAATTTGTACAGGAATCCAAGTAGAATCGATAGAAACAGCGATCCGGGAATGGCGAATGTTTGCAGGCTATAAATGGATTTCAATTGGGTCAAGGCAACCAGTCGTAGGCGGTTCGATCTGAATAATAGCTGCATTTTTATGATACAGTGACAGTTGAATTTGATGGTTTTTTCTTCTAACCTTCTTACCACATCTAAATAATAATTTTTATAAATATTTTAAAAGCTCCTTAAAAAGGAATAACATTTAGTAAGCAATTAAAATCATTTTGTTCTCCCTATTTAAAAAAAGTTGTTAAAAACATTTCAGATCTATATAGATTTTAATAGATCTTGAGATCTACTTTCTTAAATGTCTTAAATAACATTTAGATGGTTGAAAATAATGTAGCTTAACCTGTATACCAATTTTCATTGCTTTGTTGTGTCTAGATCCTGAGATCTAATCATGTTTCGATTCTCCAGGGATCACTGTGCCTGGGATAAAAGACAGATCAGATCGTACGACTAGTTGGACGCGTGCTCGAACGTCTGTGGGCGGATATTTATAGACGCAAAGACGTTGACAATGACACCCCCATCGCAACGAAGACCCCGAGAATCCGAAAGAATCGTATCATCTGGCATCGGACCACGTATTCTCTACAAATGCCCGATAACAATTGCACGGGGCCCCATAAAAAAATATTCACACAAACACACACACGGCCATAAAGTTACGAATGAGCTTGCTTTTTCTCTTCTTTTTTTTGCCTTGGCTGGGGTCTAGAAACGCAATTGAATTAGGCAGAAAAAATAAAAAAACGAGCAATAAACAGAAAACACAAATCAAAACACTGACGACAACACAAAATTGTGTCCAGCTCAGCTGATTTCTGCGACGAACAGCAACAAACACAAAGAATGCGTCACTCGAGTGTCCAAAGTCGATTTTTGAGGTAGCTCATGCCATGTGCATTAAAGTGGACCGCATTAAACCGAAAAACTTAGGACTCACTAAATAAATACAACACTTTTTAAACTTTTTTTTTATCAAATCCAATTCAACAAGCACACTTTCTTAAAAATTTGTTTATAAAACTCGTTTTATGCAAATTAATGAATATTGCATAGTTGTGTACACTGCGTATGAGTTATTTTATTACCCATACGCAAAGTGTTCAACTTTACCAACTTTAACTTTAAAATAAAAAATAATTTTTAAAACGATCACACGGAATAAAAATATAAACAAACATCACCTTAGAACATTTTGGGATATTGGATCTTCAACTTTAGTTATGAAGAAAATAATTCTTCAAAATATGCATTTATTTTGATGTCTTTTTAAGACATCAATATTCAATATAATTTCTTGAGATGCATATTTCGGAAATTTAAGTGCCTAAGGTCCACTCTAAAGAGTGCAAGTAGTAAGTGAGAGCGGGAAGGCAACATCAGCTGTTCTCTCGCTTCCTACAGCCATCTCACTCGCACTTCCGTGTGCTGCCCACGTAATTAATATGCACACTATGCGCTCCGATCGGTGATCGTGAATTAATTAAGCTGTAGGAAAAAAACACGATTGTACGACTGACCGTGAATAGTTTAGTGGTGCGGGGTCTTCTTTTTTCGGTAATCGGGTCAAGGTCACCGCCGGACAATAGAACTTTCGAAGACTTATCTAATCGGTGGTGGGCAATTCTTAGAACTCTCATACCTGTGATTATGATTCTTGATTCTTGACTTTTGGATTCTTGAATTTTTGTATGGTTCTATTAATATTTGCTAAAGGATACAATACGTAGGCGACCACCACGCCGAACATCACTTCAAAGTAGTACATATCCTTGTAGCGATCAAGGACCTTGGCCAGCATCTTAGCATCTTGGATATCACGCGGAATTTTTAAGTGTTGTTTCTCCGACCTGCGGAAATCGAGAAGTAGAAGAACAAGAGCGAGACGAGGTGTAAACATGGGCTGTATATATAATATTATATTGGTGGCGTGACTCGATGCGTGTGTGTATTTGTGGGTGTGCGAATAAACCCTCTCGCCAGATAGTACTGTAAATTCAGATATTTTCCAGTTAAATCTAGCGGTTTTCCTGAAACTATAGGTATTTTTAATTTCTAAATTTTATATGCACTTCTAAAAACGTTTAACTATTTATAGCTTCTGGTAGAAACTCCTTATCTTTACTCCCGAAAACGCCTCTTGAATGGAAGCAAATGCTCAATAGACAGATAAGGGTTTTTATAATGCCGTAAAAGATATCATCGTTTGGTAACTATTGCAATTGCTTTATGGTCACTATATGACATGCCAACAGAAAAAAAAAGACAGACAAAAAACACAAGAGATAAGAACAAAATTTCGCAACTTTATCAATAAAAATAATGAGTCTAGCAAGGGAATTAAAAAAAGATTAGAGTGATTCCCATCGGGATCGTTTTCAACCCCTTGCGTTTGTTGAGCAAATTTGACAAACAAAAAACTAAGAGATTATGCGATGACTTGCTGATTCAATGCAAATCAAATTCCAACGAAGTGGGGGAATTTGAAATCTGAACAAACGACTTGAACTTTCAACAAAACGATTTCAGCTGACTAAGTCGATTTTCGGGGAACAATCTGATCTGATACTATGGTATTAGATAGAAGATATTACAGAACCTAAATATCTTTGGATATGGAAATTTCTATGGATGTTGGATGATTTCTAAATTACAGAGCTACTTTAAATAATAATTTTGATCTGATATTGCAGAATCTTTGGATATGGATATTTCTAGCCATAGTTGGATGATTTCTAGCTACTTTTAGCGGATCTTTTAGTCATCTCTGCTCGCAAATCAAGCGAGACAAACTCACACACACGCACACATGGAGCCACACACTTAACACCTCTCAGGTGCACGAATGCGCTGGGGACACATCATCCGTATCCGTGGCGCTTTAACCCTTAGGCTGACCCCCACTTACGCGTTGAGCTCGGGAAATATGGCGTACACATAGCACATGGTGGCCAAACTGGCCACAAAGATGCCCACCACGATGACCAGGGACTTTTTCGTGGCCTTCCTTTCATCGGGCGACATGGCCTGTTTTTGGGGTGTGTCCTGCTGCTGTTGTTGCTGTGGGTTCAGATCCTGTTGCTCCTGCTGTTGCAACTGTGGCAGTAGTGGAGCCACCTGATCCTGCGACGAGGGTCGTTCCTGGTTCGCCTTGGTCCTGCCATTGCGCATGGTAATCCCCTTATCGGATGACATCTCTAAAAAAAAAACATAGAAAGAGGTGTATTAGCTTAGGGGGTCACTTTAATCGCCAGCTACTGACTACGGGTTAATCAGCGCACTAACTACGGGTTAATCACCGTTCTTTCTCGCTCACAGCTGATAAGCAAAAAAAAAACAACAAAAAGGAAGGGAGACAACCCAGTACTCACCCACACCAGTGCAGCAAGACATAGCGGTTTTTGGAAATGTCCGTGTGTAAACCCGATTTAAAAACCTTCTATAACTTATTTCACGATTGACTCATTTAGCGTCTAAGCAATTTATCAATTGTTATTGTTATTTGTGTATGTGTGTGTGTGTATTTGCGCGCCAGTCACAATTTGTTGTTGTTTTCCTCTCTATCCGCGTGTGCCACTGCCCGTGTGTGTGTGTGTGTGTTGGCGTGTTCTTGTGTGTGTCTACTCCGCACTGAATTTAATCAATATAAAAAAAAAACGAAACTGGAAGTTGGCTAACAAAGTGTGTTGACAAAACAAAGGCAATTGTCGTTGGCTACTGGATGCTCGGCGTTTTTTTATGTTTTTTGTTTTTGTTGTTAGCTTTGGCCGACGGTGAGACGCGCGCGTTCACGCTGAAAAATTAGTTTAATTTAGTTAACTAAATTTCAGTGTTGCCAGATGAGCGTTTTGCAGTACCCTAAAAAATACCAAACAGTCGATATTTCCGCCTGAAAAATTGTAAAAATATACCAAAAATATATACTACTCCGCTTTAGTCTGGTCACACTGCGGGAAGTGGCGGTTTTATTTAAATTAAATTTATATAATTTGCAAAAAGTGTTTGTTTTTTTGGTAAAAAATGTTTGTTTTTTTGGTAAAAAAATAGATTTACTAAACATCTTATGAATTCATCAAACATTCTATACCGAAACTTTGTCCAGTAATTAACAAATGCAATTGTGTAACATTAGTGATAAAGTACAGGGTTTTTAGGACTAAAAAAAATAAGATTTAAACTTCGAAATCTAGTCTAATTCTTCAGGCATCCGCTGTCGTTTTGTTTTTGAGCTGACGGTACAGTAGTACCATCTTATTGCGCTCGGACTCGAGCATGGATCTGGTGGCCAGGGGCAGATCCTTGCGCTTGCCCTTCATCTGCGCCTTGGTGGGCGTTTTAAAGGCGCCCTTGGACTTGGCGGCCACTTTAAGCCGGCTTCTTTCATCCTGCTCCTGCTGATTGGACTGATTTTGCTCCGGATCCAGCATGTTCTTGAGCAGCAAATTGCCCTTACGTCCTGGTCGCGGCACCGTCTCGCTTTTCTCCGCCTTGCGTGGCAGTACTTTAATAGAAGGCGGCGCATGGACAATCTCCCCGAAGGCCACCACATCTCGCTTGTATTCCGTGGGCCCGGCATTCTGCTTCTCCTCCGTTTCGACCTCCTGTTGGGCCTCCCGATAGGCTCGTTTCACCAGCTCCCTGCTGGTTTTCGCATCCATTGTGGATTTCTGCGGGATTGGCGTCTTTCGGCGTCCCTTTTTGCCCGCCAAACGTTGCTCCTTTTGCTTCTGCTTGAGCAGCTCGTCAATCTCGTTCTTGGGTCTCTTTTGGACCGTAATCTCGCCTGTTTTGGGATTCCGTATCACATTTACGCCGTACTTGGCCTCGTAGTGGGCTTCGCGGACGGAGGCGCTGGTTATGCGGTTCACCCGACGCAGGTAATCCTCGTCCGTTTCGTTGGCGAACTGCTTGATGTTACGCGTCTCCTTGGAGGCGCCGGCGGAGGAAGTAGCTCCCTTTTTGCCGCCTGGCGCGGATTTGGGCCGATCCTCCCGGCCAATTTGTCCCAGTTTCAGCCGCTTCCCCGTTTTGGTGGCATCGGCCAGCTGCTGGAACTGCCGGAACTTGAAGGACACCTGCTGATCGTCCACTTTAACAGGTGGGTTATTGGTTACCTTGGAGAGTCTGCAATGTGGTGGTTAGCAAGTGCTCCTGATTCGGGTAAATTACTCACTTTTTCTCCTTCTGCTCCTGCTGCTTGAGGGGGTCGCGAATGCCGTGGTGCTTGCGCACGGGAATCTTTCGCTTTCGGGCCATTAAATGTGTGTGTTTCGTTCAAGTTCCTCCAAAATAAAATAAATAAATCCAAATAGAAAAACCAAACTCGTGGTAGTGGTACCAAATACCAAATGCAGGGAAATACCAAAATATACCAACCACATACCAAATGAAAGGTCCCGTTTAGCGCGGACAACAACCAGTGGCGCCAAAACGAACACCATTTAAATGTGGAATCTTTAAAGATCATTGAAATTTTAAACTCATTTATATAGGATTAAATATTTGTTAATTGTTTGAACCTATCTTTAAAATAAAAGTAGTTGACCCAGTCTGTTATTAGAGATTATTTATTACTCTGTTTTTGATATAATTTAAAATAATAAATTTAGAGCCTTCAGTGGCCTTTTTCTATTCTTTGGTCTTTTTACACAGCATTTAAATTTCACAGAATGTTTAAAGCGTTTTTTCAAAGAATATTAATTTCATAGAAAGTTTAAAGTTTTTTTTTCAAAGTATTTAAATTTCATAGAACGTTTAAAGTTTTTTTTCAAAGAATTTAAATTAAATTTCTTAAAAAGTTTAAAGCTTTTTTTTCAAAGTATTTAAATTTCAAAGAACGTTTAAAGTGTTGTTTTTTTCAAAGTATTTAAATTTTGTTCGATAATTTGAAATGTAGCAAGAGTATACCAAGTTCGAAATGTTTTAAAAGAAATAGTGCATATAGCATTAAAGAGAGCGCATTAAATTCGAATTAATGTACTCTCTTAATTTAGAAAGTATGTCTTTTGAAAACATTTAAGGCATCTTAACATCTTCGGTGATGTTTCAATATTTTAGGTACTACAGCTTTGTGAAATTATTCTGTTGTTCTTCTTGAAGAACACAGTAATTTCCTGTTGATATACTTTCGAAAATTATAGTATGTACGATGGACCATCGAGTCCAACATCGTTATCATCGCTGAAGTTCAGCAGGTAGTCATCGAGCGCATTGCTTTCGGGCGATGCGAATTGTAGAATGTGATCATCGTTGCTCTCGAAGGTCGAGGGCATGGGTTGGGCCATTGGAAACTCCTCCACCTCCTGCTCTTCGTCCAGTTTGATTCGCTTGGCCTGGGAATCGATGGTATGATCCATGGCATGTTTTGAAAACTGACTATTGGTAAAGCGGTTGCGAATGCCACTGGAGGTGCTGGGCACATCGTCGTTGTCCTCGGGATACAGGACTCTACGTGGTGGAATAATATCCACATTGAGTATTTCCGGTTTTTCGGGGGCCAAGTCCAAGAACTTGGCTTTTCCGGCCCCCTCATCGGGCTCCTCCTCGCCGGAAGCCTCCCCACCGGATTCCTTGTGCTCCGATCCGAATTCCTCTATCTCTGATCCGGATTCCTTGTCATCTGAATCCGATTTCTTTTCGTCTGAATCGGATTTCTCTTCCGGCATCTCTACCTTCTTTACTTCCTCACTGATTTCGATTTCATCGTCTGATTCAATCTCGAATTCCCCATCTGAAGATTCCTCCAATTCCTCTTCGGATACCTCTACTTCTTCATCGTCTAATGGAGGATCTACTTCTTGGTTACGTTCTTCTGCCTCCTCCGAATCGGTTGGCCAATCCGGCTCCTCCACCTCCAAAATCTGGTTGAGATCCGGCGACGAAGCAAATCGCACTCTCTTCGCTGGCGAGCAAAACAAGAGATCGGGATCCTCCTGCTCGCTTTCGTCGCTCGCCCTTTTCAATTGAAATTTATCCAGGAAGTCAAAGGCTCGTAGTGGTGACTCCTCCTTCTCCTCGTTACCTTCCTCACTTTCATCGGTTTCCTCGACTGCCGGCTTCTTGACCAAAATGGATCGTATCGGTGCCTGCTCCTCCTCGCTGGCCTCCATCTCGCTTTCCTCGACCTCATCGCTGTCATCCTCGGTGGACTTCTTGAACAGAAAGTCGTTGAGAAAGTCCGTGGCAGATGCTTTTAGCGAAGCCTGTGGATCATCGCCGGCTTTCATGTCGTCCATGTCATTTTCCACACTATCCTCCTCTTCTTCGGCACCACCATTTTTAATCAAATTCATTTTTTCAAACTGAAAAAAAGGGAAATTTGTAAAGAAACTAGTTTGGTTATTAAAAAAAACAAACCCACCTGCGCCTGCAAAGCGTTGATACTCTCGCCCATCTTCATAATGTTGAGTGTCTTCTTGTTACGATTATCCTTTAGATCCCTAATCGTAATTGTCCACTCGAGATCCAAGTGTTCCAGTCCTTTATCCACGCTTGCCTTTGACTTCTCGGCCTTTGCTTCGTCAGCCTGCTCCAGGCGCATTTCCTTAACTGCAATTAGGCACATTTTATTTGAAAAGAATGATTTGGGATGCATGGTAAACTAGATAAAGCGAGAAATCTTGTATGTTTCAAGTTTTAAAGGTAAAGTTTTGAGGTAACTGGTTTTAAGATTGTAAGATCTAGGATCATTCCCACATTTGTATCCCACAGGATCTTATCTTTCGTGAAAAGAATGATATATGATGCATGGTTAACTAGATATAGCCAATCTAAAACTTTTCTAATGGAGTTACTTATACATTTCAAGTTTTAAAGGTAAAGGTTTCAGGTAATCGGTTTCAATATTTTAAAAGTAAGGAAAACCTATGGTTCTAAGATAATTCTTTTATGCCACAGGATCTTATCTTATGTGAAAAGAATGATTTAGGATGCATGTAGAATTAAATATAGGGAGAAACTTAATATATTTCAGGTTTTAAAGGTAAATTCAGGTAATCGGTTTCAAGATTGTTTTATAATAATAATTCTATTATCCCACAGGATCCCATCTAATGAGAAAATAATGATTTAGAATGCATGGAGAACTAGAACTAGCGAAAATCTTAATATATTTCAGGTTTCAAGGGTTTCTAGATTGTGGAAGTATGTAAATTCAATTATCCCACAGGATCTTACCGACATCGCGTGACTCGAGGAGCCCATTCTGTTTATTCTCGTGGTCAGCACGAGCCTCCTGAACCTTCGATTTGCTCTCCGCTCGCTGCTGTTGCCGCTCAACCGTGTAGTAGAGCGAGTCCTGGAGCCCCACTTCCACGAGCAGGTTCTCCATCTCCATTATCTGCGCCAGGCAGCCCTGCATCATTTCGTTCGCCTCGCCCATGTCGTCCTCAAATTCCGTCGCAATTAGTGCTCCCTGTGTGGCAAGGGTGGCGTCTATCATCAGCTGCTCCAATTCCGGGCGAAGCGCTGTGGACAAGCAGAGACATGTTGCGATCGCCATACTTAATTTCGGGGTTTTCGGCCACTCACTCTCAAACTCGTCGATTAGTTCCTCCTGCAGACTGAGCTCCTCCTCCAGCTGCCCCAGTAGTTCGTTATTTCGCAAATTCCGTGCCAGAAACTCCCTTGCTAGCGGAAATTCATCCATTTTCTGGCCTGCTTCACCTGTCGATAAGTTTTCTTTCAAGTTTGCGCGTTTTCCGATTGGCAGTCAAGCTTATCGTTTTCGCAGCCAGTGCTGGTAGATGCGACATGAGTTGCATATATCGGATGCTGTGCGATATATATCGATTGAATTAAAATAAATAAATAATTACAAAAATTGTTAAGCCAAAGAAATAAAGCAGTTAAAAAATAATCCTGTAGAATTGTTCGTTAACTCTAGGCAGAAGCAGGTTTTTTTTATTGATATAACAATGTGAGATATATAATGAATTAATTGAATTAAAATAAATAAGTAATTAAAAATCATGTTAGCCAGTATAAAGCCAGAGAAATTAAGCAGGTAAAAAAGAATCCTGTGAAATTGGCCGTTAGCTATAAGCAGAAAAACGTTATTTTTTATCGATATAACAATGTGCAAACATTAATGTAAATTGTTATAATCGTTGAAGACCTATTCTAAATTCATTTTTTTTAAAACGGTCATTTTAACAAGTTTTTTACCTGTACCTGCTTGATAAAAGTAGCTATAAATCTGTAAAAAATAAAAAATCAAATCTTAATAAAAAATCAATTATTTTAATGAAAATTGCGCTTATCTTAAGGTTGGAAAATCAACAAATTCCTTTTTTACCGTTTCATTAAACGTCTTTCACCATTAAAAGTCACTTGTGAAAACGGTCCATCTCTAACCCACCTGGCCAGTGTTGGAAAAGGCCCCCCCCTGAAATCAGCTGTGAGCGGTGCTTGTTAAAAAAAAAAAAAAACTGACAGCAGGCAACGAACTTCACATAACATCAAAGCCAATTTTCCGCTTTTCAATATTTTGGAAACGCCAGAATGCTGACGAACTGTGCCTCCAAGACGCTGGCCGCTGTGGTGAGTAGCGAAGCAACAGCACCCGAAATACCCATTAAATTCGAGGGGCGATGGAACCGCAGTTCTCTACGGCGATTATATAATTCGTGCCAGGAAAACAATAACATTAAGGATTTCCCCAAAACTTTCAGCGCGCCAACATTCGGGCCATTGCCACCGGAAGTGCCCGGGCCAGCGATAATCTGTTCGTGCATCGGGACACGCCGGAGGACAACCCGAACATCCCGTTCGAGTTCACCGCGGAGAACAAGAAGCGCGTGGAGGCGATACTGAGCATCTATCCGGAGGGCCACAAGCGCGGCGCCATGATCCCTTTGCTCGATCTCGCCCAGCGCCAATACGGCTGGCTACCCATCTCCGCCATGCACAAGGTGGCCGAGATCTTGCAGCTGCCCAATATGCGCGTCTACGAGGTGGCCACCTTCTACACGATGTTCATGCGCAAGCCCACCGGCAAGTATCACATCCAGGTGTGCACCACCACGCCCTGCTGGCTGCGCGGCTCCGACGACATCCTCGAGCAGTGCAAGAAGCAGCTGAACATCGGCGTCGGCGACACCACCAAGGACAAGCAGTTCACCATCTCGGAGGTCGAGTGCCTGGGCGCCTGCGTCAACGCGCCCATGGTGGCGATCAACGATGACTACTATGTGAGTAGTCTATGGGGTAGATTTATTCTAAATTCCCACCTAAAAAGACATTGTTTAAGTCTCATCAACTAAACAATCTAAAAAGCAGATTAACTATTATTGTACATCCTTTGTTATGGGTTTTTTGTAAGCAATCTTTAATTTCTGGACTAGATCCTCACCTAAAAAGTCATCTTTAAGGTCTCATATTATTGTATACCCTTTATGTTGAGTATTTTGTAAGCAATCCCTGATCTTTGGGGTAGATTCATTCCACATCCTCACCTAAAAAGTCATTTTTAAGGCCTAAACAATCTGAAAAACATATGAACTATTATTGTACATCCTTTAAAATGATTATTCTGTAAGCAATCTTTGATTTCTGGACTAGATTCATTCCACATCCTCAACTGAAAAGGCATCTTTTAAGGCCTCATCAACTAAACAATCTGAAAAACAGATTAACTATTCTTGCACATCCTTTGTAATGGGTTTTTTGTAAGCAATCTTTGATTTCTGGACTAGATTCATTCCAAATCCTCACCTAAAAAGTCATCTTTTAAGCCTCAACAACTAAACAATTTGAAAAGCAGATTACCTATTATTGTAAATCCTTTATTGTTTGCCACCTTGACAATTTTCCTGGTTAATTTTGCCAAAAAATCCCATAGATTTCTTTACATTTTCTATTTAGGATTATTTTTTCGAATTTTTATAATATCTCTTGCTGTTTTGCTGTTTATTTTTTCCCAGAAATCCCATAGATTTCTTTACGTTTTTTATTCATAATTTATATTGAAAATTTTCATAATATCTCTGGCTATTTTTCTGTTTATTTTTGTCCAGAAATCTTATAGATTTCTTTGCATTTTCTATTTAGAATTTATGTATAGAATTTTCATAATAACTCTTGCCATTTTCCTGCTTAGTTTTGCCCAAAAATCCCATAGATTTCTTATCATTTTTAATTTAAAATTTATATATCGAATTTTCATAATGAATTAGTCTTAATTTAAAGAAAGAAGGCCTACAAAAGTGTTCTACTTTATATATATTTGACTTTGTAATCTAAACAATAAGCCGTAATTTACATATTCTTTCTTTTGGTAAATCAATCTTAAATAGGGGTTTTTAATTTAATTAATTTTAGAACGCTTTTAAACACTCATTTTATAGCCTTCCCTTGTCCAAAGTTAAACATTTTTTCCTTTGCTTTCCAGGAGGATCTGACGGCCAAGGACATGCAGGACATCCTGAACGACCTGAAGGCGGGCAAAATATCGCCGCCCGGTCCTCGCAACGGTCGCTTTGCCAGCGAGCCGAAGGGCGAGCCCACTTCCCTGAGCGAGGAGCCCAAGGGTCCTGGCTTTGGCCTGCAGGCCGGCCTCTAGATTTCTCCAGAGGATTGGCTGCATGGAGCGCAGAACCTATCACTGATTGTCGAACGAAAGTTAAATAAATATTAAGCAACTCTTAGAGGTCATTGATATATGCGTTTTGATTTCTTTCGGGGAAAATGCGATATATTGTTTATTTTTTGTTATTAAAATGTATTTTAAAACTAAGAAGAAGCCGCCGAAAGTTTATTTCACCAAGGAGAACCCCCCGAAAAATCTGCAGCTTGTGTGCATTTTTGACATCGTTTACATTTATTAATTATACTTCATATTACTGGAGGCTTTTTTGGCCCCTTGCTAATTATTATGTAATTACTTTGCGTACACTATGGCGTACACAATTATGAATGGAGACGCTTGGGAAGAAGTTAGTTAAGAGGCTATTTGCAGCTGTGGCAATTACTTGCGAAGACAAAACTTGGGCTTTCGGCTTAGGGCTAAAAGATGTGTGTGTGTATTTTTTAGGTCTACTTTTATGGTTGCTTAAATTCTACGCTGGTTGAGTGCAGCACAACCAGATATAATACTACATATATGCATACTGTGCTGCATTCAAGCGCCCGACCTCTCACTTAAGTGCTAGATAAATCTGTATTTCAGTATTTTGTAATGTGTTGCTTGTCTGCATTTTTTCGGGGGTCATATCGTGCTCCATCTCGACTCCTGACCTCTCCAGCTCCACAACACTCCACGTACACCGCCCGCGTGTGTTTCCTCGTAACCAGGAATTGCAAATAAGAGTTGAGTTTGCCAGAAAACTCTTAGTTCTGCAATTTCATCAAACGAAAAATTGACAGCAAGAGTTATTTGGCGAGAGATCAACTCTTCTTTGCCATCCCTGCCTTAAACCAATGTCGAAAAAAAAAGTAAAAAGTGTACTAAAATCCTATTTTTTAGTGCCGCCTCCGCCGACGACCACTTCGAGGGGGCGGGGCCGCTGCCTTTCCTCAGTCCTCGCCGTAGAAGACGCTGCAATAAAGGGGTAAATATTAATAGTTAGTTTCAGAGCTATTTAGCAAAACTACAAAGAAAATAATAATACAAAAAGGGACACAGAACTCAGAAAAATTAAAAGAAAAAGCCAAATGTTGTGATCTTTGAAAGTAACTACATTAATTAAAATATAATAAATAAAATATAAACAAAATAATAATACAAAAAGGGACATAGAACTCTGAAAAATTAAAAGAAGAAGATAAAAGTTGGAAATAAATTAATTTAAGTATAATAAATAAAATACAAACAAAATAATAATACAAAAAGGGACATAGAAGGTATTTTCTTACTTAAAAAATTAAAAGAGAAAGCCAAAAAGTTGTGATCTTTGAAAGTAACTACATTAATTAAAATATAAAAAATTATAGAAAGTCAAACTGAAGTTCTCTAGACATTATGGCATTAAAAAATATTTAAAATTAAATGGAAAACGAGAAAATGTCTACCCAAAGCAGGTTTTTTTTCGGAAAAACTCAATAATAATACAGGATTTAAACCATAAAGAGTTTCGACTACAAAAATTACTTTTGAGCTGTGGCATTATTCTAACCTTATGCTGTATATAGAGATTTTAAACGCACCGGTTCTTGGCGGCAGCCCGTTTGGAGGAGCGCTCGATGCGATTGTGAATATTTGTCCTCGGGTAATATTCGTTGACGAGTCGTTTGGTCTTTTTGGGCGATTCGCGCAGCTCCTTGGTCTCCACGTTCTTCTGCGTGACCAGGTCGCGCTTGAACTTCTCGATGAGGCCCTCGCATGAGAGGTTCGACTCGGGCTCCCAGGTGTCGTCCTTGGCGCCGAATCCCTTCCACCGAATGCGGTACAGGCCGCCCTCGGCGTCGTCGACAAAGTCCACGATGCGCTCGACAACCCACTCCTTTTCGGGATCAGTTGGAGCAGCGGCGCTCTTCTTTGTGCCGCCGCCGCCGCCGGGCGGACGACCACGACCGCCGCCTCCCGCCTTCTTGGCGCCCTTGGCGGTCTTGCCTTTGGGTTTGGCCTCCTGCTAAGCAATGGAATTGGAATATAGGTTAGAATCTATAATTTTTAGTTTATATCTTTCACTTACCTTGGCCCGAAACTGTTCCAGCAAGTAATCGCAGCTGAGATCCGCCTCCAGCATCCATGTGTCCTCCGCCTTGGTGTATCCCTTCCAGCGCACCTGGAAGTAGGTGGCTCCCTTCACCGTCTTCTGGCCCACAATGGCCTCCACCTGGAAAAGAGAAGGTTTTATAACTTATTAGAAGATCTGATTAGAACTTTAGACCTGGGAACTCTTAAAGATTGAGATAATAAATAAGATTCAATGGGTAATCGAGTAAGAAATATGGTAATTTATCAAAACTAAATAAAATGTAAAATAGATTTAACCTTATAAACAGCTTTAGTACTAAGAACTCATAAAGATTAAGATAATAAATAAGATTTGGTGGATAATTGAGTGAGAAATATGGTAATTTATCAAAACTAAGCATTTTAAGATAGATTTAACCCTATGAACAGCTTTATTGGAGGAATAAGCTAGTATTTAGAACGTCTGATCAGAAGTTAAGTCTTAAAAACTAATGAAGATTTGGAAAATAAATAAGATTTCGAGTGGAAAATATGGTAATTTATCAAAACTAAGTATTTTAAAATAGATTTAACCTTATAAATAGCTTCATTGGAGGAATAAGCTAGGTTTCAGAACGTCTGATCAAAAGTTAAGTCTTAAAAACTAATGAAGATTAGGATAATAAATAAGATTTCGAGTGGGAAATATGGTATTTATGAAAACTAAGCATTTTAAAATAGATTTAACTCCTCAGAACTCTCAAAGATTAGGATAATAAAGAAGATTTGGTGGGTAATCGAATGCGAAATATGGTAATTTATCAAAACTAAGCATTTTAAAATAGATGTACCAAGATCTAACCTTATAAACAGTTTCATCGGAAGAATAAGCTAATTTTCAGAACGTCTAATTAGAAATTATGTTTTGAGAACTCCTAAAGATTCAGATAATAAATAAGATTTGGAGTGGAAAATATATTTATTTATCAAATAAATTTAACCTTATAAACAGCTTTATTGGAGGAATAATCTAGTTCTATGATTCAATTGAGACAATTATTCCAGACTATTTAGAACCAATTGGAAAGTGAATAAAGTGTTCTACTGGAAGACCTATTTCGGGATACATGAAGAAGGACCATTACCTCGTATTCCACCTCGGCTTCCTGCTCGTCCAGGACGGCATCCTCCTCGGAATCCTCGTTAGCCAGAGCCTTCTTGCCATTTTTGGCGGCTGCATTCGACTTGGGCCTGCCCAGCTTGCGCTTCTTGGGGGCCGATGAACCACCGCCGGAGGAGCTGGTGGACACCTTGTTGTTGTTGCCATTGTTGAGCGGCAGGTCGTCGCTGTCCTCCGATTCGGAGCGCACTATCGGGCGGGCCTTGCGCTTGTTCAGCGGCTTCTTAGACGACGAGACCGATGTGGAGCGGGAGGCCGAGGAGCCGGTGTCCCCATCGTTCTCCTCGCCATCTGGGGCGGCACCGTTCCTCAGCTTCTTGCGGCCCAGCTCCTCGACCGCCTTTTTCTTGCCCAGCTTCACCATGTTGCTATCGTATCCGGTTGGTTGGTGGATTCTGGCCGGGATGTGCCAATTGTTTACGCTCCCTTTTTCCGTTTGCCGCGTATCTGGGAAAACAATATACCGAGTTTTTTCTTTTTCGACGACTGCGGACTGTACACGATGTTAGAAAGTTCTGACTTTCCCAATTTCCCCGACGCGAGCGCAAATGGTCCTAAAATTGGAAGTGGTGTCTTTGGCAGTATATAAATACCGGAAAAATACCGCAAAAAAAAACTTACACACAGGGAGCCACGAAATACAGCCCTGCGTGCTCACATAAATACTTATTTCATTTAGTTTACAAGAGTAATTAATTAGCTTATTTTCTTTTAGTTAATTAGTTAAAAAATAGAATTTTACTTTATTTTAGAAAGTCTTCCATCTGGTCTGACACTTTCCAACACTGTTTTCAAACCTAGTGGTGGCAGAAAATCGATAGTCCCCGAATCGGAACTCGTTCCATCTCTAATAGCAACCGCGTGCGATTCGCAATCGGAATCTTGTCCAGCTTGTCCAGCAAACAGAGGGAATGCAGCGCCAGAAACCCAAGGGACCGGGCAAGCCGGGTCCGCGCTTCAAGCCGGGAGCGGGCAGAGCCAAGGGAGCACCCGGTGGTGGCGGCGCCAACAAACTGAAGCGTCCGCGCCAGGAGTTCAACAAGTCCAAAGTGGCCGCCACCGATGCGGAGATCCGGGAGCTGCAGGCCAAGTACGCGGAGATCGATGCGCCGTCGATCAAGAAGTTCGCCCAGTTTCCGCTGTCCAAGAAGACGCTAAAAGCGCTTTCCGAATCCAAGTTCCTGCATCCCACGCAGGTGCAGCGCGACAGCATTGGACCCGCCCTGCTGGGCAAGGATGTGCTGGGTGCGGCGGTCACGGGCAGCGGCAAGACACTGGCCTTTCTCATACCCGTAAGTTTGCCCTTTAGGAATACCCGAAAATAGCTTAATTATCCTATTTTTTTACAGGTTTTGGAGCACCTGTTTGTAAACAAATGGTCGCGCAGCGATGGCGTGGGCGCCATCATCATCTCGCCCACCCGCGAGCTGGCCTACCAGATCTTCGAGACGCTAAAGAAGGTGGGCAAGCACCACGACTTCTCCGCCGGCTTAATTATTGGCGGCAAGAACCTGAAATTCGAGCGAACGCGCATGGATCAGTGCAACATACTCATTTGCACACCCGGCCGCCTGCTGCAGCACATGGACGAGAATCCGCTGTTCAACACGAGCACCATGGAGGTGCTGGTTCTGGACGAGGCCGATCGGTGTTTGGACATGGGCTTCCAGAAGACCTTGAACTCGATAATTGAGAATTTCCCGCCCGTGCGGCAAACGCTGCTCTTCTCGGCCACGCAAACGAATACGGTGCAGGATTTGGCGCGGCTTAATCTTAAAGAACCGGTCTATGTGGGCTACGGAGCAACGACGCCTAGCGAAGGAGAAGCTTCCACTTCCAAAGCGACGCCCAACGGAGCTATTTTGGCCCTCCCCGAGCTGCTGCAGCAGAGCTATGTAGTGCTCAACCTGGAGGACAAGATCACCATGCTGTGGTCGTTCATCAAGAACCATCTGAAGCAGAAGATCATTGTGTTCGTTTCCAGCTGCAAGCAGGCCAAGTATCTCTACGAGATCTTCTGCAAATTGCGTCCCGGCAGCCCGCTGTTGGCTTTGTATGGCACCCTCCATCAGGATCGTCGCATCGCCATCTACGAGGATTTTCTGCGCAAGAGCCACGTGGTCATGTTCTCCACGGATGTCGCTTCGCGTGGCCTCGACTTTCCGGCCGTCAATTGGGTGGTGCAGTTGGATTGCCCCGAGGATGTCTCACAGTATATCCATCGAGCGGGTCGTTCGGCGCGCAACAAGACGCGTGGCGAGTGTCTTTTGGTTCTGACGCCCAGCGAGGAGGAATACATGATTGGCGCCCTCAAGGATCAGCTGAATATCAACATACGTTGCGTGCAAATCGATCCGAAGAAACTTTTCTCGCCGCGCGTCAAAATCGAGGCCTTCCTGGCCCAATTTCCCGAGCTGCGGGCCACCGCCCAGCGTGCCTTTGTCTCGTACATCAAGTCGGTGTTCCTGCAGCGCAACAAGCGATTGTTCAATGTTTTTAACCTCGATCTGGATGCCTTTGCTCAGTCGCTCGGTTTGGCGGTCACGCCGCGCGTTCCCTTCCTCGAAAAGTTCCTCTGGCGGCAGAAGCAGCTGCAGCAGCAGAAGGAAAGCGAAAAGGGCGTTGAAAATCCCGTTCCCGTTCTCAGCAAGCTGACCAAACAACAGAGCTTTGGCGGCGGCTCCGACGAGGATACAGATGACAGCGATGACGAGGACTTTATCAAGGTGAAGCGCAGGGATCACGATGTCGAAGGGGAGCCAGTGCAGCTGGAGGAGATCGACGAGAAAAAGGAGGAGGACGAGGACCCACTGGTGGTGCCCAAGCGCGAGAAGCTGGTCACCAAGGCCTCGCTGGCCAAGAAGGCGCTGAAGAAGAACCTGCAGGTCAACTCGAAGCTCAAGTTCGACGAAGAGGGCGAAACGCTGGCCGATGATCGCAGTCAAATGAAGGCACTGAGTGCCAGAAACCGCACAGAGAATCAGGACCAGAACGACGACGACGATGGAGGCATCAATCTGGTGCTATCGAAGGCACTGCTGACCGAGGAGGATCAGTACGACAAGCAGCGATTTAGGGAGCTGGTCAAAAAGCGACACAAACTGCAGCGCGACAAGCTGCGCAAGAAAACGGAGGAAGCCAAGGGAAGTGACGAGGAGGAGGAGGAGGAGGCTGCTGCTGAAAATCCCGAAGATGCTGACAGCGACAGTGACCATTCGGTGGACCTCTCCTGGCTCCCCGATCCCGACAAGATCTACAAAAATAAGGATCGAAGTGCAGTTGCGCATTCACAGCCTGAATCGGAATCAGGCGATGCCACCGACGATGATGGGAAAACGGACGACGATGAAGACGACTCCGATGATGAGCCCGCCTACAAAAAGTCCAAGCTAACGAATAAGATGACTCTGATGGACACGGAGGCCATTGCGGCCAGTCTTTTGGGTAGCTAAGTAAGGGGCTCGACTGTGTGAATAAATTAATGCCAATTATTTTTTAAATAATAATGAGTAATGTAATAGAAATGTGTTGTTATTGTTACTTAAATTATTGATTTTGTATTGATTGGTTAAACCGAAAGCAACTGTGAACGTAGGGCTTCAAATTTTATGCAAAAATAATCTTTTTTTGTGGTTTTTCAGTCGTTATTTGGTCAAATCAAGGCCCACAGCTAAAAGAATGCCTGTTTTGAGCAGCTAACGACCTAAACTAACGATCCCCATCACTTTCAGGAAAATTTATTTTTTGATCAATTTTCGCTTTTTTGATAAGGGGTAACATCACGATTTTTTGCGAAAAATTGCAAAATTTAAAAATTTCTAGGTTTGAATGCCAATCGATTGGGAATTAAATAACGAGTTCAACGAGGTATGACATTCCGTATTTGCACCATTATTTCCAATGTTATGGCCAAAATGCTCATATTTTAGGGTGGAAAATATGGATTAAAATTTTCGACGAAAACAACCTTTTTTTGTGGTTTTTCGGTCATAATTTGGACAAATCAAGGCTCACAGCTAAAGGAATGACTGTTTTGAGCAGCTAACGACCTGAACTAACGATCCCCATCACTTTCACGGAAATTTATTTTTTGATCAATTTTCGCTTTTTTGATAAGGGGTTACATCAAAACTTTTTGCAAAAAATTTGAAAAATTAAAAATTTTCAGGTTTAAATGCAAATCGATTGGGAATTTAATAACGAGTTCAACAAGGTATGACACACCATATTTGGATCATTATTTCCATTTTTATGATCGTAAATACCAATTTTTTTGGGTGAAAAATCAGGATCATGATTTTTGGTTAAAATTTGATTTTTATTGTAGATTTTTTGCTGTAACTTGGACAAAAATGGTCCCAAATCAAAAAGGCGCACTGTTTTGAGCAGCTTACAACCTTATAATTAATATCAGTGCGATTAGCGACTGATTTGAGAAAATTAAATTTTGACCCAATTTTCGCTTTTTTTGTAAGGGGTACCATCATAATTTTTTCGAAAAATGGCAAAAATTAAAAATTTCCAGGTTGAAATGCCAATCGATTGGGAATTAAATAACGAGTTCAACGAGGTATGACATTCCATATTTGGACCATTATTTCCATTATTATGGCCAAAATACTGATATTTAAGGGTGGAAAATATGCATTCGAATTTTCGACGAAAATAACCTTTTTTGTGGTTTTTCGGTCGTAATTTGGACAAATCAAGGCTCACAGCTAAAAGTCCGACTGTTTTGGACAGCTAACAACCTAAACTAATGATTCCCATCATTAGATTCATGTTACCACTTAATTCCTGAGAACCAAACCCCCAGTAAAAAGTCGCTTTCCAAATGCTTCACAAATATTTGGAAAATGCCCACAAATTTATTTTTGTTTTTCTTTGATTTGATTTCGTATTATTTTCTCTCTCGTCTCTTGGTTGAGGCGCCTCCACATCGCTACCAGCCCATTGGATGGAGTCCAGGAGCAACTGACCATCTCTGACCTGGAGGATTTATGTATGGATCCATGGGATCCGTGATCTGGAGAGCGTGGGAGTGAGATTTGGAATTACTGGGCGAGCGGGACGGGGGGAAAGTGGCTGCGTTCCGCGCGGGAAGAGGGGGGGGAAATCGCCCTTTTTGTTAAAAAGGGGGCGTGGCTGCTTGGCATGGGCGTGGCATAAAATTTGCTTTTAAAAATATCATTACACATCACGTCAATTACAATTTTTTTGTTCGTTTTGTTTTGCATTTTTTTGTTCGTTTCGTTTAGACATATTTGCTTGGTTTTTCTTTTTTTCTTTTCAGTTTAGCGTATATAAATAAATGCATACACATATATACGGTAATATATAGACGGTATATATATGTACGTGTACAAATAATGCAATAGACACACATCTATACAAATTATACTATATAATGGTTAAGTTTTTCTTTTCTTTTTCTCTCGTTATTGGTTTTTATCTTTTTTTTTTTGTTTTAATTTTACTTTGAGTGCTTATTTTTCTGCCTTCTGTTTTTTGTTGGCAACAGAAATCGCGTTATTTTTTACTTCCTTTAAGTTTGAGGTCCGTTTCAGACACAAGATACACACAATTACATAATTAAGTTTCGGTTTTATATAAAAAATTAATGCTCAATTACAAGGAATAACACTTAGGCGTATGTTGTCTACAATTTTTTACTTATTTGCCTCTGCCTGTTGTCAAATATTATTATTTTCTGCTGCCTTACCTTTTGTTTATTTCTGAATATCTGATCTGATCCTCGCTTTCTTTTTTGTTTAGTTAAAATATATGCGTACATGGGTAGAAATTGTATAATTTGTTGTTTCGCTAATTTGATACAGTACACACACACATTTTGGTTTTTTTCGTTATCGTTTTCGTTTTTCAGAGAGACAGATAGAGAGAGTATTACATTAAGGATTATATGCCTGGCTAATGCAAATATCAATTAGACAATCAGTGGAGATTCGAGTGTGGGGGGAAATTTGAGTTTTATTTTCTTCGTTTTTCTTGGTTTTTTTTTTCATATTTTTTATGGGAGATTTCCTTTGCCGTTTCGTAGTAATTATCATTTTTTGCTTATATGGTAGCTATATAATTATATAGTGTATATCTAGTTGGATGACAAACATACATATACAGACACACACACTGAGATGCACATTTAGTTTAGCTCGAAAATTAGATTTTGCTCGGTTGTTCTTATGGGTTGTTTTGTTTTTGTTTTTTCGGTTGTCCTTTCTCCCAAAAGCCTCCTCCTCCTCCTCTTCGTCCTCTACTACATACTTTCTCCTATTCTAGACACACAGACATTTAGTGGTATTTAAATATATATTATATATCTAGCATTATCGCTATTGTGTTTATATGGAAATTTGTTTGCTGATCGCGCATTATTTTTAACATACAATTACAATTACATTTATAACATACACAGATACACAGTAAATTTTATTTAACCATCTTCGTACTAGATTTTAGATATCTCCCCATGCCTTCATCTATATCTTGGTTTTTATATTTTTTGTTTTTTATATTTTTTGTGCGTTGTCGTTGGCGCCCCCGCCCCGCCCCTTTGTTCGTTTTGTTGATGGGAGGAGTTTAGATGGAGCTTGGAGTTAGAAGACTTTTTTGGGGGTGGGGTCTGGGGGGCGGCGAGGGGAGGTCTCACTCAATGGATTCAACGACTAAAGGACGCACCACACACAGAGAGAGAATACTTGACGCGTTTACATATATCACGGAAACACAACAAAGCCATCGATACAAAATATATATTGTATATATAAAAAATAAATATACCCTACTTAGCCAAGTTCTGTTCTCACATACGCACACGCACGCACGCACAATCACACAAATCGCACACAATAGACCCAAGTATATATTATATACTATTATAAATATGTATATGCCTGGCTGCTGATCCTCATTTGAATGAATCGATCGATCGATGGGCTGCCTCCTGCTAACCTTCCTTTCCTTCCTTTCTTCCCTCCTTCTTTCCTTCCTATGGCTATTACTCCTTACATCTTGATCACCCAGAAAACACAAAGCACACATGGCACTGGATGGCGCCCACATTCATACACTCGCACATTGAATCTAACTATCTCGTTTTGGCTTCGCGTCCGGCGGTCAAGTGAAAGTCCAAGTGCGCCATGATCTGGCGGGGATCTAGGCCTAGACCATGACAAAAGCATCCTTGCCGCAGAACAGATACGGGAACTGGTCGATCATTGTCTGGACAATGTCCTCCAGATACGGACGCAGCTGCTCGAAGTGGCCCATGTCGGTGAAGTCGATGGGAATGAGTGTGGGCCACCAGCAGATGGCCAGGTTCTTGCTGTCCATGCTATTTAGCTTCGAGTTGTCCGAGACGCTAAGGGTAATAAATATATATATTAGAATCGAATTTGGCAATTATAAATTCAAATTCCCCCCAACTTACTGCACAAAGTGCTGGAATATGTATTTGAGTATGGCAAAGTTGATGGGCGGCAGCTTTTGGAGCAGCGATTTTAAAGCTATCAAGCGGCAACTCCGGTCCGTTTTGACCTCCACATTCAGTTTGGAATTGCCCACGCCACGGGAACCTGCCAAAAAAGGAAGGAAGTTAAATATATAGGATTGATGGGAGTATTTATAGGCTGCTATATACCGGCAATCTCCTCCAGCTCCTTGATGATATCCTTGCTGAACAGCGGCGGCAGGCGCTTGGAGAAAAAGTCCTTGAGTGCCGTGGCCACTGCGTTAACGGGAATGTCCAGCGCATCAATCTCGGTGTTGGTATCTAAACGGGTTTTAAAATATTAGCAATATTCTTATATCCTTAATAATTAATACCTACCATCTTCGAATCGTTGGAATAGCATGTCGACATGCGCCCTGCTGCCGGGCACTCGATAAATGCCCTCGGAATCCAGGCCCTCCTTCTCGATAAATTCCACGCACTTGTTGAGGAAAATGGGGATCTCACCCTGCTCGGAGCTAATCATCAGCTTGCCAAACTGCGCCTCCGCCGATTCAACGAGACCCTTGGAGTTTTGCTTCAGCTTGCGCTTGAGCTTCTTCTCCTGCTCCTTCTCCTTCTCCTGGAGCTTGCGCAACCTGGCCGTCTCCTCCTTGATGCGCCGCTTCTCTAGCTTCTCCAACTTCTCGTATTCCTTCAAGCACTTGGCGCTATATTCGGGTATATTCTCCGCACCGAAGATCCCAGCAGCCGCCAGCTCTGGCACCATGGAATACTGCAATGGATTATGATATGTCAGTTGAGTTCAGAAGTCAAAAGAAATATAGAACTCACCTCAGGCGATTTGTCGCTCTTCATGAAATCGGGAACGCAAGGTTCGGGTTTCTCTGAGGAAATTCAAAGAAAATACAACAAATTAGCAGGGGAATTGTTGGTTCTAATGGACATGTATAATTAGGATACATTTTAGTATTTAAAATTTATAAAGAAAAATTTAATTTTTGCAAGGAATAAGATTCTAAGAAAAAAATAAAATAAAGCTAGCTGTAAACGATACAGCGGCAACCTCAACAGACAAGAAGCCGCTGCACCGTTTACAGCTTTCTCAAATGATGATAAGTAACATTAATATATAGATAATATTTTAAAACATTTATGGAATATTTAACAATTTAGCAAGGGATATCTTTCAATTTAGTTGTATACGATGCAGCGGTAGCATGGAATAATATTAGAAGCAACCTGCAGCCGCTGCAACGTTTACAGCTTTCTCAAACGATAATTACATAAATTATTACATAAATAAATTACATAAAAGTATACATCATAGTTTACAACATTTATAGGATATTTTACAATTTAGAAAGGAAAAAGTTATCTCACAATTTAGTTGTAAACGATGCAGCGGCAACATATTAGAAACAACCTGCAGCCGTTGCACCGTTTACAGCTTTCTCAAAGAACTTGGGGTTACATAAAATTTGGAATAGATACAGATAGATACCGAGAACCCAGGAAAAGTATTACTAAATAAAAACACATAACACGACACATACTTTTCTCACCTGGCCCGCCGCCGCCTCCGCCCCCGCCGCCAACGACCATTCGCTGGTAGTGCAGCGGAATTTCCGGCGGACTCACATATGAGCCGAACGGAGGAACACGCGGCGTCTGCACCGGAATGGCCACCTTCTTCTTCTTCTGCTTCTTGGCGGCCACCGGCTTCTTGCTGTTGGCCTTGTAGTAGGCGTTCTGCTGGCGCACCCGTCGCTCCGTGGAACTGGCACAGCTGTCGGATTCGGTGCAGTCTGAATAGGGAAAAGTGGTAGAAATATATGAGAACGTGGGTTCCCGATCAGGGGCTGGATTATAGATTATAGCGGTGGCGCGGTGTGAAAAGTGGTGCTTGGGGGGACACAGAAGACAATGCTTTCGTCGAGATTCAATGATTTCTTGTCCTACTTCAAAAGGAACTTGATCTTAACATGGCATTTCAAATGTTTTTAGATTTTAAAGAACCATTTAAATAAATATATCTTGTTGTTGACAACACAAGGAAATAAATTCAAGAAAAACAATATAAATGAATGAACAATTATTCACTTAATATGAACTATTTTTGTTATTTTAAGTTAGTTATCATAGTTATCGCTGACTATACCTAGACTTTTTATTAATATCTCTAAAGTTCTAAGGAATTCAAATTAAATACTCATTCAAAGTTCGTCACAAAACAACCGCAAAAAATATATTTTGTATATAACCTAAATATCTCATTCCGTTTATAACTTTAAAACTCTCGATAATATATAATTTCGATCTGTTAACATCAAGTTCTCGTGGGTTTTTTGTCGTTTTTGTTATCTGTGCAGGGTGAGTGATTCGGGTGAGTTAGTGGGCGAGAGAAGAGGGGTTAGTCCTAAAGCGAAAGTGAAATCCCAGTGAAATCAGGTTTTCTTCCTAGTTTCTCAATTTCCTAGTTCCTAGTTCCAATACCTTCGTTTTCGTAGATCTGCTCGTACTCGGCCAGCTCCTCGGAATCCTCATCCTCGCCATCCAACTGGGCGTGATCGTATCGCTTGCCATCCTTGTCGCAGGGCTCCAGATACGAGTCCGCCATGCTGCCACTGCCGCCGGTGCCCAGGCCCAAGCCCAAACCGGTGCTACCGGATCCCGAGCCTGATCCCGATCCCGAACCGGATCCGGTGAAATTCATCTTGGCCACCGCATCGCTGACCAGCTGGAAATTCTTCATATTCAGCTTGCCCGGCTGCTGGGTGGGCAGGGTGAAGGTGGAGGAGCTCATCGCCGGGCAATTGCGACTGGGCGCCTCGCCCACCTTCAGCGTTTGGCTGGGTCCCTTCGGGCGGATCTTGTTCAGATTGGAGTCAATGTGCCGCCGGCCGGTGGTGTAGGCATGTGTCGATCCGCTAAAGTTGTTCCAAATCGAGTTCTTGTTCATGTTGCGCCGCCCGTCGCTTTTATCCTCCAGCCACTCTAAAAAATGTTTAGCCACAGAGAGAAGAGGAGATTCACAATTAGCCCAAACGGAGGAGGAGGAGGTGCCCTTCGGGGGACGACTTCTTCTTCTCAAACAAATAACTGGTATTGCGGAACGGTTTACATCGGTCTGCGCACAACTTCTTAAAACAAATTAGAGCTTTTAAATATTAATTCAGCTTAATTGCGTCATGTTTATGTGGTATTTAATTACTTGTTTTGTATATAAGCTGTTATCTAGCGTCTAAGCTAATTTCATGATGCATATTATTGCTCATAAAAATAGTATATACATATTACTAATTCATTATAAATCAGTTAAATGTGATATATATACAATTTTATTCATTTATTTAATACTTTATATGGAGCAGTAGCCACACATTTTTATTTACGTTTTAGTTGCAATTCAAGTATTTTTTTTAACAGTTTTCTGAAAGCTTTTATTAAGTTTTGTCTAAAATGAGCTATATTTTTGCGCCATTTTAATATATATAAAGTCATTTTTGTAGTTGTAGTTATAAAATAAAGTTTCGCTGAATCCCTCAAATATTAAATATATAATAAATATTATTTATATAAAAAGTTATGTATTTTAAAAGTCAAATAAATCCTAACTCGCTGATTTCCACAAAGTTATGCGTGTGACCAATATGCACCGTACACAAGATACACCGTAAAAAATTAGAGGAGATGCATTGGGCAAGCAGCAAAATAAACTCAGGGGATTCGTGCCGGGGATTTGATTTAATTTGATTTGATTTTCAGGCAGTGCTTCGGTTGCAAGTTCTAACCAATAACCAAAAAGGGCTAAATCTAGTGGCTAAAATGTAAGTGGATCGTGAGATTAACCTGCATCATGGGTGGCCAGTGAATCCTTGGACCCGCTGACATCGGCTGCTTGTCGGGAAACGAGACAAACGAGAGAGCAAACACACGGGATTCATCAGATTTGAAATAGAGTTAAGATCTGCGACGAGGGATTCCACACAGAAAAAAAAAAGCAGAGAGAGCAAAGCAAAAGGAGAACGTGGGGAACAGCAAACGAACGAAAGAACACATCTGTACAATCGATTCCCATCGATCTTGGGCTTTGGATTGGTTTTTTTTTTGCGGGGTTTGCTGGGGTCGTGGGTCGGGGACCATGGATACATGGAATATATACATATACAGCTTTACTGGCAGACAGTACGGGCTCACGAAACTGAAGAGTAAACGGAAAATAACGAAAAAAACACAGCAAAGGAAGGAAAATATAAAAGGGAGGAGTTTTTGGGTAGAAACATTCAGGTGGTGGATCGAATTTGATTGACTGTTTCGGATCATCTGGATAGATCTGGTGAGATATCCTTGCAGAGACTTTTTTTTGTTCCCGAAATAGTTTCCAATACTTAAAAACAATAGTTTTTGACTTAAAGGTATTGTTTTTAAAAGATATTTTCGGAATTCCCTTATATAACCAATTTGGGACTGAAAGATTTTTATAATACATATGGAAATAAATAAGGAATTATTTACACTTTTCATTTGGGTTGTAATTTCACCACTTACTGGTTTTAAAATTTTCAATAGAAATATTTCTCAAATATACTTTCAACAAATTACGTAGCAATTACTTGTATTCAATACTTAAAACCTTCATTACAAAATATTTACACAGTTTTCAACAACAATCCATCATAGTTCGAGTCTATTCGCTTCCCAAGAGATTTTACTTTTCACTCTTTTCTTTAATTTAAGGAATATATTTTTAAAACAATTTAAAAATTGTGGAAAAATTAGGAATAACGTTCTCGTTAAGGATATCGGCCAGCTTTACCCAAAAAATCAAAGGAATCAAAGGCGGGATAGAAAGGGTTTTGGGAGTGAGAAGGTGGTGAAGTTTCGTTGGTGTTTTTCGAGTGATCACAACAAAGAAACCAAGTAAATAAATATAAATAAGTGAAAAGAAAGTAAAAACTCTAAGAGATGAATAACGAGATAGAGAGAGACAGATAGAGAGATAAGAGATATAAACGAGAATATAGGAGAAATATATTCAAATAGTTAGATTACATGTTATTTCTTCCAAACTTGATTCTGAAGCCGAAACGAATTGACTCTTATATGTGCATGTAATGAGCTGATGATCTGGAGGGGCTGGCTCTGGAGGAGTTGTTGGAGGAGGGAATATCTGGAATCCTTATATATTTTCGTTTTTTTTTTTTTTTTTTTGATTGAGTATTTTGTTTGTTTGAGAGCAAATAATTTGATTTGCAATAGGCAAAACGACAACAACAAATACACACACAGAGATAAATCGATAAAAAATGGTTAAGGTTAATCGTTAATTAATAATAATCATTATATATAGAGTATTATATATAGATATGGCGCATATAAGTATATGAAGTATATGGTATGGCAATGGTAAATGGAATGGCATGAATCGAGATCATCTCGACTGAATGGGTGAATGAATTAATGGATGGTCTGGATGATGAAAATGGATGAATATTCATACATGGATAAATATATCGTATATGGGTATGTATAATATATATAGTTCATTGGCTATGGAGCACGAATTCTGAATGAGTTTGGTATCTTTTTGTTTTCGGGTTTGGTATTGGTTTAGCTTTTAGGTGGGGCTTTCTTTTTTTGGCTTGGTCGCTTTGGGATCAGTGGCCAGCATGGAACTTACTTTGATGCAGGTGCTTGGGCTTTTCGTTGTCATCGTAGATTTCATCTAATGATATATCTCTTTCTTCTGCAAATCGAAAGCATTATAGCAAGGATTTTTATATTATATCCAATCGATTGGCATACCATTTAATGAGTTGAGAGATCGGGTAGGAGCCATTTCGTAGTTCTCACTGCCGGAACCATCGGTTCCCAGCGTATTGGACAGCATGTAGCTCTCGTGGCGCGGCGGCGGGCGTGGCATCTGGTTAACCGAGTTCTCCAGCGTGCCCTCGCCCGAATCCAAAGTAATTGACTCCTCCACATGCAGGTTCTCCACCTCGTACTTGTTGTCCCAGGCGGTCTTCAGGAATGGATTATAGAACGCAACTACAGGGGAGAGAGAATTAAGTTTAGTTTAAAATATCTTCGATTTAAAACCAAGAGCTTCACTTACACTTGACATACTGATCCGCCGAGAAGGTCATAAAGCTGCCCTTGAAGCGATCGGCCACCGCATTGCCCTCGGTGATCAAAAACTGGCAAATATCGCTGTTGAAAAAGGCATTTACGCCCCCGCTCTCGGTCACCGCGATAATCTGCAATGGAATGTTGGCATTCTGGGCTGCCAGGATGCTAAAAGTATATAGAATAAAAATACAACAATTATTCCAATATTCATTTTAAATTCAAATAGCCCCAGACTCACCTTAGATTCGCCAACGAAGATCGACGCTTGGCGGAGTAAAAGTAAATGTAGCCATGGATTAGCTCATCGCGGTACTGGCTAGTGCCGTGATATGAAGACAGGATAAACTCGACCCGCCGCTTGGCGTCGCCGATGAAGACATCGATTATGATCGAGTGCTCGTTGGCCTTGACCAGCGTCGATTCGGCGACCAGCGGCTGCACAATGTTCTCGATATCGTACTGATCGCCACAGAAGATGCAGCACAGGATCCGCAGATCGGTGTGATTGGAGGGATATGGCTCGTAGCTCTTCATCTCGGTCAGCTTCAGTGACAGGATGACAATGTTGAGTATGTCGTAGACATATTTCTGGTGATTCTGCGTATGATCGATGAAGTCGCAGTGCAGCATCTCCGACAGTCGCATGCCCTCGTTGCGCAAGTACTCCACCTCGTTCTCCTTGAGATCCTGCGGCTGGTAGACGAGCACGATGGGCAGGTTCTCGAACTTATCCTCCAGCTCCAAGTTGCAGAGCAGCGTGCGCTCCAAGTTATCCTTGAGCGTCTCAAAGGATTGCTGGTTGGAGTACACGCAAATGAGACCTGAAAAATAATAAATTGAATAAGAATTAGCAATGAAAAGATTTGAACATTTCTTAAAATAATACATTTGTACATTATACATTTTTTTACAGATTTACAGATACTAATATTATTGCCAAAGAACAGGTACTATACGTTTTATAGCCATTAAGTTGGCTGATTAATGTAAAATTATATGAGTTACACTAAAAAAAAGAACAGGTATTTAATTCTCCTAAGAACAATCATCAATCAGAGATTAGTAATTTCACAATTGAAAAGCTGTGAGTAAGCCAAATGATATCATTTGTCGGCAATATAGACAATATCGTTAGTCTGTTAATTAGCTAAATACTATATGTTGGTAGCATAGTGAGCAACAAGGCAATTAAGTGCAATTATTACTCATTCCATAAGGTGCAAAATCCAAACCTACCACTCGAATAGACATCGATGGCCTTGAAGGCCTCCATGTCGCCGTTGGCGATTCGGTAGTTGAGATAATACGTCTGGTTCTCGTAGATGTACTCGCCCTTGCTCCCGGTGCAGATGCGTATGTCGTTGAGCAGATCGCTGGCCAGATGCTCGGAGCCAACGATCAGCAGATTGAGCGTGCGATCGCTGCCGCTGCCCGATGTCTTCCAACCGCCGACGTTGCTGGGCGTCTTGTGATTGCTGGCCGACTTGTCGGACAGCACCTCCTCGATCAGGCTATCGACACAGTTGTAGAAAAAGGGGCAGTGATCCCGGATGGGGCAGTGGATGAAGCGCAAATGCTGGACGAGCATCAGCCGCCGCTCCTGGTCCAAACGATCCAACATCTTGTAGCGCGAATCCTCCTGTATGACATCCGTGATCTGGCGGACATCCTCCTGCGTGATATTGTCCACGTTCTTGAACTGCAGAAAGTACTGGGCATGCTCCAGCAGTAGCTCCACAAAGTTCTGCTTGCTCTTCTCGATGATGTCGTCCTGGTGGATGTCGTAGATCTGCTGGCAGTCGTGCTCCGACAGAGCCTCGAAGCATTCGCGGCCCATGAAAAGGACTCGCACCTCGGACAATTGCTTGCCGGGCGTCACAAAGCCGGACTCCTCGAGCAGCATCTTGAATTGCTGCTTCCATCTGTTGGTGGGGAAAACGAAAGAGGTTTTATAATGGCTTAAACAAGGCAATACAAAGACTAATAAAGTTGTACAATAACTCCTTATTATTCAGAACACTTAAGTGCAATCAATCCAGAGTCTGGATAGCTGAGAGTCTAGTTTGCGTGGAAACGGACATACGAACAGACGGTCATACGGACATTCGTACATATGAACAGACAGTCATACGGACAGAAGGTCATACGTACATACGGACATTCGTACATATGAACAGACAGTCATACGGACAGAAGGACATACGTACATACGGACAGACGGTCATGCGGACAGAAGGACATACGGACATTCGTACATATGAACAGACATTCATACGGACATACGGACAGACAGTCATACGGACAAAAGGACATACGTACATACGGACAGACGGACATACGGACAGACGGACATACGAACAGACAGTCATACGGACAGACAGTCTTACGGCCTTGTGGCCATACGAACAGATTCTAAATTCCAGACTCGACTCACCCAATCTTCTTCTTGTCCTGCTGCACCGAATTCAAGTAATTACGGAAGACTGTCTCCGCCTCGGAGGTCTCGAGCACATCGAACGGAATGCGTGCCTCGTCCTCCGCCTCGTCCATGTCCACCAGCTCCGTCCACGAGGCCTGCGGGCACTCGAAGAAGTACTGCTCGAATTCGATGTGATTCTGCAGATAATTCCTGGCGCACTCCCACGCATCATCGTCGCTGATATTCAAAGCCCCGATATCCGGCAGCAGGTATTCCAGGGCCAAAGCGAACTTGTCCAAATACTGATGCAGCTTCTTGTTGAGATGATCGTCGCGCAGCTTCTTCATATGCCGCCGAAAGAGCTTCTGGCCTGCCTCGTGGCCAAAGATGTTGAGGAACTCGTTCCATTCGCGATACTGCGACAGCATCTTGGAGCCCTGCGACCACAGCACATGATAGTCGGTGATCTGGTTGCGAATGAGTCGCGTAACCGCCTCGGAACGCGTGTCCAGTAGCTCCTTGCGCGACTTGGCCGACTCCTGGTACGAGATGATCTTGACCCGGTTCTTAACCTTGTCGATCATCTGGGCGAGCAGGAGGAAGGCCAAATCGATGTTGATGCTCTCGTGGGCCGATGTCTCGATCAGCTGAACGGTGCTCTTGTAGTCCTTGCGCTGGCTAATCTTCTCCGCCTCGCGTACGTACAGCTCGTAGGCGTCGTCGTTCTTCGTGGTCACCAGCACCAGCGGCTTCTTGTTCTTCAATATGGTGGCTATGACGTTCTGCACAAATTCCACCTGCTTCTCCACACTGCGATTGGGCACGGGACTCACATCGAAGACGACGACAAAGCCATCGATACTCAGCCGGCCATCGGGCATCACCTTCTGTTCGTACTCCTTCTCGATGCCCAACTGATTCTTGCATATATACATTAGTTTCTCCGCCGAAAAGACCTTGGTGGCTGTGCAACGCTTGGAGTACGGATCCATCTTGCCCACCTTAAAGGCCTGGAAGGTGGAGTCGTCCATGAATTCGGTCTGCTCGATGATATTGAACTGATACTCGACGCCCTCCTCCGTCGTCTTGCGAACATCGCCCCAGTAGAGAAAGTGGTCGTTGTTCACGATCCGGCCACTGAAGTCGCTCTGGCTGAGCACTGATATGTGATCGATGAAGTAGTCGTCGGCCATTGGGCGCATGAATCTGTTGCACAGGCATGACTTGCCCACGCCCACCTGGCCGCGGTCCTTTTCGGTCCCGGATAGTCCAATGACCGAGATGTTAAACTGACGCATCTTGACGTACCTGTGCGATATGATACGATATTATTATAATATTATATAAACAGAACTACGGATTAAGGCTGTAAGCAAGTGTAGCCAAATTGTGAGAGACACAAGTTATTAGGAGAACGGTTTTTCCAGGTCTTTTTGGTCATAAACCTTATCATATCGATAAGGTGGTGCGATACCACCGACTCTATTTTCAAACCTGCCTATGGAAATTTATCATACAGCGTAACCAAGCTTATCAAAGTGTCACACAATGTTGTAACCTTGGAAAAGTACATATATCCATCACAAATTGATTTATATAAGACGATATCATATACATTTTTAAGGATTAAGGGATAGATTAATTGATAAGATTAAAGTAACGATCTTTTAGTATAGATCACTAATAGTTTCTTCTTGGGTCTATCGATAAGAAAGGATATCTTTGTGTTTTAAGGACACGCTACTTTCTTATTTATTTCCGATTATTATATTTCCGATTCGGACACTTTCTTATAGGAACTTTAGATATATATCATATACGATATGATCTCATAAGAGAACCTTTACTTTTATCACTGTTTTTAATGCGTTTACGCTAACAGATAACAGCTTGTTTTCAAGGATCTCTTGAGGTTGCTCTGGATTTCTGGCCACTTTTTCACGGCAACTGATGACGATTATCCAAGATAACCTTGTGCAAGATTCAAGTTGGAGAGTTGCCCCGTCCCGCATCGCAGGACCTTCACATTTTCGCACACTTTTCGCCAGTCTAGGACTTTGTCGTGGGTTTCCTTGGGCTACAACTACGCAGTTACGGATACATCCACGGATTGGGGGTCCAAAAACAAGAGAGCGAACGAGAGCGAGAGATTGGCTGCTGCGGTGTGACAAAAAAAAAAAAAAATGAAAGAAAGGAAAAACCGAATTTTCCTATGCCGGCGCTAGGTGGAAAAATCAATCCATGCGATTTTTGGCCATACAGTTTTCCACGATTTTTTTGACTTCACAACGCTCGCGGTTTTACCTGGTTTTCGTATTTCTATTTATGTGGCTAGTTTTTATACAACATTTTCGGCAAGTAGGGAAAGTCAGTCTGCAACAAATCCTTTTTCCGTCCTGACTGCGGCGGCTGCTCTGCCGCAGCGCTGCCTTCAGTGCTGCTGCCGCTGCAAACGAAACGGCGCAGCTCTCTCCGCAAAGCTGGAACGCTCCAAAGAGAGAGAGAGAGAGTGGAAAGCCAGAGCGGGAGAGCGCGTGGGTGGATGCGATTGTGGCGTTTGTTGTTGCTCTGGCCAGTGCACTCCAATTTGTTGCTGTTATCCTCGAGTGGGAGTGCAATTGTGGCTGCCTCACAGCCTCAATGGGAGTGGAAATGGAAATAATAAATTCCCCACTGGGCTTTAATTGAGTTTTTCCGGCGCACACACACACACAGATATGCAAGTGCAGTTCGAGCAGCGCAGAAGCGAAATTGGAGCTGCAACAGATTTCCTGTACATTCCCCGGGCTGCACAACAGCAACAACAACAATGGCAGAGAGAGAGAGAGAACGATCCAGTGATAACAACAACAAAGGCTATTGTTTATTGGAAGGACAAGACACGAAGGAAGCGAAAGAGAAAGGAGGGAGAGGGAGTGGGAGAGAGAGTACTGCAAGTGCATGTGCAACGGTACAATTACCAACACAAACGGGCGGGGCGGAAGCGGGAGCGGGAGAGAGAGAGACACCGTACAATTTTTGGAAAACTGAAATTCAGATTTTTGTTGCAGAAACAGAAACAGAAAAGAAAAACACTGTTGCCGCATCCGTCTAGCCATCCCGCTCTGGCGCGCACACTCCCAGCATCGCGGCATCTCGCTCTCAGTGCGAGCGTGTGTTTGTGTGTGTGGACAATTACCTGCAGCTGCGCACAAAGAATTCAAGTTTAATCTTCTTAGAGCCCGTCTTTCCTCCTGGCTTTTCCAGCAGTAGTCACTTGACAAAATAGCAAACAATTGTAGTTGCTTTAATTAATTTTTCCCACCGCGAAACTCTCACTTACGCACACACACACACACTGGACACACACCACACAGATGAACGGCGAAAGGAAGAGGGGGGGCGGGGAGAGAGCGAGAGAGCAGCGCGTACACAACGTATACAAAAGAAGACAATTACGAATCAGCATCGTAAACTGTGGAAAAGTAGGCGAAAATGTCCCGATTCAGGACCAAAAGCGACAAACTCAATGACGGCCGACTCGCACGCTACTCACAATTATTGCACTTGCACTCCAATGCGGGGGTTCGAATTTACAATTTTAGTACGAGTAATTCACATCACATTACTGACACAACAACAAAAATTAGAGCTGGGACAAAGTCGATGATTGCTTGTTGCAACGAGGCGGAGGTGGGTGTACTCGCTAAGCGAGGGGCCTGACACGGCTAAGCGAGGGCTTGTAACGAATAACGGTTAATGGTATTTAAAAATCCGCGAACAAAAATGTTTTTAAATTTATTTGAATATTTCTCAACTTTCGCCCTTAATTGGAAAATCTAAAGTCTGATTCCGGTTGATTAAAGAGATCACTATTTGTACTGTAATCTGTATTTTCCATAAAAAACAAGAAAGGAAGCTACCTTCGGCCAGCCGAAGCTTATATACCCTTGTAGATAAAAGAATACTCACTCGGTGCAGTTCCAGGGATTCCAGATTCAGCGTTTCGATTTATTTCAATTTTGTTTTTAAGTAGTCAAGAATCAAAACGCCTACTTCCTACAAAGTTACAATGAATTTTCTTATATTTGATTGGGAGCCTTAAGATATAGTGGTCCGATCCGGCTGGCTCCGACATATGTACTACCTGCAATAGAAAGAAGACCTTCGGGAAAGTTTCATCGCGATAGCTTTAAAACTGAGAGACTAGTTCGCATAGAAACGGACAGACGGACAGACGGACAGACGGACAGACGGACAGACGGACATGGCTAGATAGACTCGGCTATTGGTGCTGATCAAGAATATATATACTTTATGTGGTCGGAAACGTCTCCTTCACTGCGTTGCAAACATCTGACTGAAATTATAATACCCTCTACAAGGGTATAAAAACTAACATCGTATATCTTGTAGTCAATTTTTATTCAAATTGATCTTTATACATCAAGCATTACTAATTGACTTACTTGTGTTCTCGTTAAAAAAAACATTTTAATCAAATCAAATTATTATTTAATTTATTATTTAAATTGATCTTCTTACATAATGCATTAAAATATAATATTGTTAATTTAATGTTGGCTCAAACTTCAGTTTTTAACGTTTTAGGCCTTATCATCATTTCGACAAAGGTGAGCGAGTAGGTGTAATTGCTGTTATGCCAGGAACCCCAAGTAATTCCATCGTTATGTTCAGAGTAACCTTCTTTATGGTACTTTGCATTAAGCTTGCTGTAATTTCAAGTGCTTAAATTAATATGGTTGAATGGTTATTATTTGAATATGTTCACCTCCGAGCACAGGACGTGTACCACCAACCACCCCACTCCTTGGTAGCGCAATTCCGTTTAGATTCATCATTATCCCTGTCATGTGTGGTGAACTTTTTCTCGTTATGATCTTTGAGAGAGTCACCGGCTGTACCATTATATATCCCCAGCGATTCGAGTTCATACAATTCTTCTTCACTTCCAATCTTGAAGTCATCATAATGGGCATAGCTAGTGGATCCATTTACCATGCCAAGTTCAATGCGCAGTTCGTGTGGTTGTGCCTGAGTCATAATGTGCAATCTCTCGAGTCCGATGAAAAATTCTCCTTCTATATTGCCGAAGCCGTCTTTGTAATCCTTCCAGGTTCGATCGAAATTCTCGGAGCCGTCGAAACGTTTTTGTATTGTTAGCCAACCCGTTGAATTGCACGGAGCTTCGAATGCATGTATATCTCCTACTGTAATATTGTAAATGCCATTTGGTCCTTCGACGGGACAACTGGATCTGGGTTGGCACTTGAAAAGATCATCTTTGAGTTCCGATATTTGGTTACTAAGTTTTTTAGTTATATCATTGATCTGGGTTTCTTTGTTTTGTATTTCATTCCTAGCTATTTCTAAATTTCTCTGCAAATTACCAATACTTGTGCTCATAAAACTAACTTTCTCATCTGTATTTTTGAGTAGTTGAGTAATGTTTTTGATTTGGTTTTTCAGTTCTTCATTTTGATCACGGATTTGATTATCTTGATTCGCCGTTGGTTGGTGATTAATATTCATAACTACCACATTTTTTATTTCGAAGTTATCTGGATTTGCACCGATAATGGATAGCTCGTTGATAAGGAAAACCGACAGGAGAAACGCCAAGCGCGATATCATTGTGTTCTAAGCTAAGACGCCTCTGAACTAAAACTAAACTCAGCACTCGGAAAGACCTCCAAAAATCTGAAGACTATCTATGTCTGGTCGAATACAAGCTGCTTTCCATGTATGGGATAACCTTTCTGATCCCTAAAGAACGGAGTGCAATAAAATAAAACAAATCCAAGATTAGGCTGCCCATCGCCTAACAAAAAATGTATGTACATTAGGGTGGACTTTTTTAAGGTCGATTGAGCTCAGCATCTGAAATGGTAGGTTTCTGTGTCCAATAAATGTATCCGAAAACGAAAAAAATATATTTTAACGTTTAGGCCGTGCGCAACGGTCCCAAAGTTTCAGTAAAATAACTTGTACGAATCGTAATATTTTTCATTCAAGTAGAAGTTTATTTCATGCCCATTAACAGATGGACGTAGCCTAGCCTGTAGAGCTTCTGACTCCGAACAAAAAGGACCGAGTTCGATCCCCGAACCACCATGTCTTTTTTTTATATTATTTTATAATTTTGATGATTCACTGTAACTTTTGCGTTTTACTATATCTTTCTTTTATGGATTAAGGATACAAAAAGGCAATATATGAAGGGGTGAGAGCATTGCCTTAAAAATGTCACACAAAAAAAGTCCACCCTAATGTACATAGTTATATTTCATATATAAATGTAAAGAAAATTCATTCCTAATTATTCCACCATTGCAGTGGTTAAATGTTTATTCCGGTCATTGGTCGTTATTATCAATTTTACAAGCACTATTATAATCACTTACGACTCGATCGAATCCAACTAATACAGTTCCGACTTCTGCATGACGGCGGTGACCAGCGCCTTGAAGGCGTCCTCGATCATGATGATGTGCAGCTGGGCATCGCGGTAGGAGCACAGCTTTGCGCTCTCGGTCAGCGGCATCTGCATGGTGGTCACGCCCAGCGACGACTGTGAGTGCAGGCTACGGCCGGTGGTCATCAGGATGTTGACGCAATCGTCAGCCAAAATGGGAAACGTTTCCACAAATCGCACCATCGCCGGCAGCACGTTCCGCAGGAACTTGCACTTGGCCGAGGCGGTGAGCAGGGACAACGTCGTCTGGATGACGTTCAGGCAGAACTTCGAGACGCCCAGACTCTTGGGTATCGAATAGTTGAGCACCAGATGCGAGGTTAGCTCAATGGTGAAGATCTGCTTGTCCATTTCGGTCACGTTGAGAAATTCGTGAACGAAATCAATGCAAATATGCATCGACGGCACGCTGGCCACAATCATGGGGATCACGGACTTGGGATACGTTTGGAAATGCACCAGCTTGGCCAGCGAGGGCTCCGAGATGAACGCCTGATGGACATAGGTCCCAATGATGCCCTGTATCTCGCGCAGCTCCAGATGCGACACCCGATCCGACGCCTTGCTGGCCATATACTCGAGCACCTCGAGCAGAATGTGCACGGCGGCGCTCTCCTGCGAGGCAATCAGCGTCGTCTTCAGCTCCTCCCGATCCGCGTCCGTCTGCACCAGGCCGTTCTTGTCCAGCACCTGTTTCTGCTGCATGTGCACATTGAGGTAGGTCTTCGAGGCGGCCAGGCTGCCTTTGAGGATGCGCAGCAGGATCATCAGCAGATACGGCGAGCAGAAGACGTAGCGAGGGCAGCTTTTGTAATAGAAATATATATTAAATATATATTAATTGTTAATTGTATTAAATTGTATTAAATGTTAGATGCAAGTGTAAAACTCTAATATAAGTAGGGACCTACATATTTTCATTATTATTAATCAGGGTTCGGTATTTAACACACATGTTAAAAACATGAAAAATTGTATTTTATAGTGTGAGCAAAATAGTTGACATTTGTGTCAAATACAAAAGTGTTAAAATGTCAAAAATAATTGTTAACACACAGAGCTCATTTGTGCTTTTACTAAATGTGTTTTTAGCACGACGTGTTTTTTACACACTGTGTTTTTAACACAAATGAAAATTACATTTTACTGACATTAACGAGTCGAAGGGAAAATGAAAAACCAATATGGGGCATGATATCTTATATGTTAGTTTTAACCATTTCAAAGCATATATGAATTCTTATACTCTGGAAAATAGTGCATTTTAAAATTTTTTAATGTCAAAAACTCATTGTGTTAAAAACACGCTGTGTAATTAACGTGTGTTATTAACACGTCGTGTAAATAACACAAATGACATGTGTGTGTTATTTATGTTTCTAACATATGTAGGATACAATTTTTTACACAAAAGTCAATAACTATTTTTGAACTTAACACTTTGAAATTTAACATGTTAATAACACAAGTTTTTTGCAGTGTGTTCTTAATATTGTTTATGTGACTAGTGCATTAATTTACAAGGAAATCCTTGTAGCACCAGGAAATAAGAAAGAAATAAATAAATAAAAAGGAAAAATGCCGATGGAGCACCCACCTCAACACCTCCATGGGCTCCAGCAGGCTCTCGTTGGCGAAGGTCCGCCGGTTAATGGAGTCCGAACTGTTGGTAATCGCCCGCAGCGACATAATCCACAGGGTGGTGGGCAGCACGGCGTTCAGGCGCAGCCAGATTTCATTGTACAGATCCTTGATATACCGCGGCACCGTTTTGGCAAACACCACCGGCAGATGCTGCACCAGCTGCTGCCCGTACTGCGCCTGCCGCTCCGGCGGCATCTGGAGCAGCTGCTTGAACACTCGGATGGCCAGATGCGGCTTCGTCTGGATGGCGGCCAGTGCCCGATCCAGCTGCTCCGGCCGCAGCTCTCGCTTGCTGTCCACCAGCTCGATAATGGCGGCACTGCCCTGGTTGCCCAAATTATGCTCCTCCAGCCAGTCGTCCACCATGCTGAGATGCGGATAGTTGGAGATAATCAAACGCAGCAGCGGATGGAAGAGCGAGAGATAGTCGTGGTGATAGTGGTGAGCCTTCTGTAGCAAATACTTCAGCGGCAGACCGCCCAGGAAGTTGTTCGAGTACTCCTTCTGCTTGCGCCCCCCAAGCGCCGTGAGGTTCATCAGCCGCGTGTCCTCGTAGAGCATCAAATAGTAGATCATCAGCAGCTGGGCGGTCAGCGGACAGGTCACCTCGATCTGCGCCAGCTCCTCGCTGCTCCGCTCCGCCATCTGCGGCAGTTCCTCGGCGAAGAAAGTGAGCTTCGAGGTGCGAAAAACATGCAGAATTTCGGCCTCGGTGAAGGGTCGATGCATATGATCGATATTCACCTTGCCCGTGGGATTCGGTATGATCAGCGTGTTGACAAACACCTCCACCAACGCAGGCATCACCGGATGCACTGGCCTCACCGAGCTGCATATCTGCTTGAAGATCCACGACTTGATCGGCACCTTGTGCTTGAGAAACGTTCGCGACTTGAGCAGCTGATGGATGCAGTGCACCGGCAGGTAGCCCGGTATGGTGCCATTTAAATTCGGCGTCACGGGAACTCGAACTGCATGCAATGCCACCACCTGTTCGGTGAACAAATCCTGCGTGAAGAGCTGCTTGATCCGATTCGTGCTATTTGGCCGGATGGGTATTTTCATGGCCAGCGTCGAGCAGACCATCTCGCTGATGGCCGAGATCTGATTGCTGTGAAAGTGAATGGCCAGCAGGAGGAGCATCTCGCCCAGCGAGGTGCTCGTGCCGGAGCGCTTGCAGAAGAAGGCATCCTCGCGAATGAGCCACTGCAGCCATTCGACGGCCTTGTTCTCCAGCGGAATGGTGGACACCAGCGAGGGGCAGGCGATGAGCATGCACAGCGCTAGCGTTACGAATCTCACGCCCGAGGGCGTCGCCTGTGGACAACTGGTGACCAGCTGGGACAGCGCGTTGATCTCGTCGTCGTTGAACTTGAGGCCACCGATGCCGCGAAGGGCGCAGTACAGACGCAGCAGCACCGCTCCCTGGAGATTGAAGTCGCGCAGCTCCGAGGCATTCGTCGTCGTCTGGATCACCTTCTGCAGCAGCTCCACGCGCACCAGATTCAGGGCATCACCCTTGCGCTTCTGGCTGGAGCGGATGTAGACGGCGAACCAGGAGCGCAGATTCTGGTCATTGCCCAGCAGCAGACCCGTGAGGAAGGCGATCTAAAGGGGGGTAAGGGGAAGCTTGTTGTTATCTCATTATAATATAAAGATTGTATATACATTGTCGTAGGTCAAAGCGAAATAGAAGGAGATAGCTGTATCGCTATTCTCGTTCGTTCATTCTATTAAAAGTGCCTAACTATCATGCAATCATGTTAATAACTAATAACTATAAAGAACTCCAATGAATAAACTATGCTGATCAATAGCTTTCTTTAAATATTTCAATAAAAAACCTAATTTAAATAGAAATTGAAAATATATATAAGAAGTTTTATAATATATCTTTAAAAATTAAGCAGAGATATTTATAAAATGTACTAGATAAACTAAATAATCATCATAATTTCTATGTCATTTTAAGGCAGTTTGGAAACCATTTATGGTAATAAATTATATCTACAGATCTTGAGATGAGTTTAAAAAACCTTATCATGTTACAACTATGAACTATAGAAAACTGAAATAAATAAACTATGGTGTTCAACATTCAAAAATTCTTTCAATAGCTTACTTTAAATATTTATAAGAAACCTAATTATAGTTATCTAAAAGTTACTAAAAGATCTATAAAAATATGATAAGTATAAAGAAGGATTACTCTTGAATATTCAAGTTTTATGATAGATCTTCAAGAATTAAGCAGAGATATTAATAAAATATATAAATATTACTTATTTACTAGATAAACTAAATATTCATCACATTTTCAACATTTTTCAGGAGCAGTTTGGAAAGTAATAGTGATAAATATAATTGAAAAAACCTTCTGGTACAATTACAACTATCATATCTATTTTACTTAATCACACAAATGATATCTGAAGACTATAATCTATATATATAGATCTTACAACCTTGCCCTCCAAAACCTCCTGGCTAACATTACCCTACTCACCAGATCCTCGGGATGCTTGAGCGTGAGCTTGAGCATGAACGACGGCACCTTGAGCATGTCCACGCACATGGACCGATTGGCCAGCGCCTGGGAGGGATTCATTTCGCTGAGGCCCATGAGCAGCATCAGCCGGTGCTTGCCATCGCTGCCGTCCTCGTCACAGTTGGCGATCACATGGGAAACCACATCGCGATAGCAGTCCGGAAAGTTGGCCACCAAAGCGCAGATGATCCGATGGCCGTTGGGCACATGGACGAGGGCATCGGTTAGCTCCAGGATGTTCAGCAGCGAGGGCAGCTCGGCCAAGGCGATGCAGAGGATGTCCACCACCTCCTCCAAATAAATGCCATCGTCGAGCATTTCCGAGTGGGCGGCCGGCTTCTGCTCGGAGACCTGCTGCTGCAGATTGAAGATCTCCGAGAGCACCACGCGCACCTTGCGCGCCACATCCGCCCGCTCGAAACCCAAAGCGATGCCCGATTGGAGTCCATACTCATGTTGCTGCCCCTCGAAGAAGGCCGACTTCTGGCGCGCCTGCAGCTCCTTCTTTAGCTCGTTCTCCAGCTCATGGTAGTTGACCTGCAGGTAGGAGACTATGCTATTCACCACCTCGATGCCAATGAGCACGGCGAGGATCTGCTTGCGCGACTCCATCGACGACTCCGTGTTGTCCAGCGGCGAGAGCAGGCTCATCCGCACCAGCGACGGCAGCACCGGCCGGATCTCCGCCTCCGGGTAGCTGGCCAGCAGGGTGATGTCCAGGTTCTGCATGGCGCAGAAGACGCGCGGCGACACATCGTACATCTTCACCGGCATCTTGGGATGGTCGTCCGCGTTCCAACTTGTTGCTCCCGGCTAAAGGCTTGGTTTTCCCGCTCTTTTGGCCTCGCCGGCGGCTTTTCCCTGCTCAAAAGCCCGGCACCGGGGTATGGGTTAATCTCGGCGAGCGTTGGATACACCAGGGAATGCCCAAGAATCCGCGAATCCACCGCATCCAAAAGAAAACAACACTCGTCTCCTGCGAGGGAGATGGTATATATTTGGTATATTGCTGAAAATACCAAAAACATGTTGTATCGGCCCATCGATAGCACTAGCTAACAAAATATTCAGTCCGATAGTAAGTAGCTAGAAAATGTAATCTGGGTATTCCCTGTGAATTGCGGAATTGTTGAATTTTTAGTCAGTTAATATATTTTGTTAATATATTTTCTCATATTTCAAACTCAACTTACAATTGAAAAGCCTTGAAGCTGTTTCAAAATGTTGTTGAATCGTTGAATCTATTTTACTAAAATTTAATATTTTACTATCATTAGTTTACATTATTTGCTTTAAAATCAAATAAAAAAGTCTATTAGTAGTTTCTCTTACCTTGCTTAGCATTTTAGAAAGTAACTAACAATAGAAAATCAAATTTTACATGTTTTAAGTTCCGTGAAATTTTTTAACAAATAACAGCTTTTTTTTAAATTTAACAGAAACCATTTGGAGTCGTTTCCTGAATTGCTGAATTTTTCTATTGAATTTTCAACAATTCAGCAAATTTAATAGTTTAGGAAATACCCGGAATATATAATATTATTCTAGCTATTTAGCATCGCAAAAAATCATATAATATAGCTAGTAGTCAGCGATAGTCGCCTCCAAACATCGATAACTCCGATTCAGATGTTTCCATCGATGTTTCTCCACCAGTTTCGATGATTCTCCGCCTCCGCTTCTCACTCGTTCGCAACGCGATGTTTTGAATACATACATTTTTTCCATTCTCGCCAAGAAAGTTCACCCGCCAGACCGAAGATTTTAGTGAACGCGCTAAATCGTGAAATTAACTGTGTTTTGTGAATCAATTAGGGCGGACGGAGCTGCAAAATTGTCGAGTAGGTAAGTGAAGATCGCCGCAGTGCAGTGGAAACGGCGCGAAGAGCGGCCGAAAGGTGTGTGAAATAGACCAACGCCCAAGTGGCCACGGAAAAGGAGCCATCAGCGAACGGAACGAACGGCAGAAGTGGCAAAGAGAGGAGCTGAGTGCAAAAGTATCTAGCGGATGTGTGTGTGTGTGTGCGGGTGTGTGTGTGTGGCCAGGAGAAGTGTGCTAAAAAATCAGGCGAAACAATTTTCGCCACATATTTACATACATAATAAAACATCATCGATTAAAATTGCCTGCTAACTCATATTCATATATTTGGCCCGACGTCGCCGCCCGCTGCCGCTGCCCTGCCTCTGCCGCCGTTGATGACATCATTCGGTTTCGGTGAGAGCGCGTAGCGTGCGTGAGTGTGAGTGTGTGTGTAATCGAATTGGACGAGCTCGCTTTTTTTTATTTTTTAATTCACCCGATCCGAAAAGGATGCACCAATGGATTTGGCCAGAAACTCAAGGCCCTGAAATAATAAAAAACAATAAAAAAAAACAGTGCTGTGTGAAAACGAACCTTACGTCAACTTGGTGATAAAAACGAAGAACACGGCTATCGCCTAATCGGAGATATATATGTATTGAAGACGATGCGTGTGATGGTGTTTGTGAGTTTATGAAATACAAGCGGTGCGCTCTTTTTTTTTTTTCCTCATTTCTTCCTCATAGATACGCATACTATGCCTATGCACTTGGCTGAAATACAGTTACGTGCCCACCAACACTCTAAAAATAGGCAACCCCACTCTCTCTTACACCAACCCCACCCACCCCCTGTGCACCAGCAACACCACCCCACTCCAGAGGTCACGAGTTGAAGTGAAGTTTCCTTTCCTTTGCGAGCTCTCCTCTCCCCGAATTCACCTCATGTAGCTGCACTTGCTCAATGTTTATTTGTGCTTCACCTTGTTTTTGTTGTTGTTTATGACAAATCACACGTATGTATGTATGTATGTACAGTTGTAAACACAACACACACCTACAATCAATTGATCACCAAAAAAACTCATTAACTGGCTCATAAATGGCAGGGAAAACTGGTTTTTCCTTGGCTTAACTCAACTTTGGTGGTGGTTTCATTTCCAAGTTTCCAAAGTTGAACTCTTGGCCTGTTTAATTGAACTCGCAGTTGCACACCACACACGCCCCGCTCTCTTTCGCTCTCTCTATCGCACTCTCTCTCTCTTTTTCTGTGATGAACTCACGCTGAAAACAAGAGGATCGGCCATAATCATAATTAAGTCTTAAAAAAGCACCAACAATCGAAAGGGGGGTGTGCTAGAGGGGGACAGGGATAGCTTGCGAGAGCGACTTATGCAGTTTCCACCCCATCTCTCCCTTTCTCGCTCCCACTTCCACTCCAACTGCACCACCTTTCGGATACGATACACAGATACATTCGCTCTCTCTCTCGCTCCAGTTTTGTTTTTGCTCGCTCCCGCTCTCCCAAAGTTTTAAGCTTCGTTTTAATAAAAATATTACGTAATACCAAGATAGAAGCTGCGTGCGTGTGGAAGTGTGCGTGTGCTGATTTTGCTTTTTGTTTGTTTTAACAATTCTCGCTCGCACTTTGCTTGTTATTGTTGTTGCGGGTGGAGTGGTGCTCTCATCAAAATTAGTACAAATGAAATCAGCAGCTTACTTAATTGTGGTGGAAAAAAGTAGTAGTAAGAAGAAGAAGAACGAGGAGGAGGAAAAGTTTTGTGTTGTTGTTGTGTGCGTAGAAGGGAATGACCCCGGCACCTGTGCAAAAGCGAATGGGGAATAAAGGTCAAAGGACATTAGCACAAAAAAAAACACACTCTGTTATACAGAACAAAAGTTCTCTGTTTTATCAGTGTTTCTATTTTTGTCCTAGGTCGGCGATTTTATTTTGCTGAATGAAACCTTTTTTAGAACAAGCTAAGTTCTAATCAATTTTAGAACAAATAAATGTACACATATCAACAAATAATTAAATTTAAAGAAAATAGTGTAGGCCTTTAAATTAAATACAAAATTTAATCAGCTAAATAGAAACTTTAAAAAGGAAAATTCCAAATCTGCATAGAATAAAAAAATATAATACAAAAGTCAAAAATAAAAAAGTGAAAAATTAAATTAAACAATTAAAACTTTTAACAAGGAAATTCCAATTCTGCATAGAATATAAAACCAACTTTGAAAAGGAAAATTCCAATTCTGCGTTAACTATTTTTTTTTGCTTCCCTAATTTGAAATGTGAAAGCCGGGGGAGAAAGTACAGCGACAAACAAACAAATAAAAAAAAAAAAACAACACACATTAACCGGAAAAAGTACAGCCCAAGTACTTGGCTCATTTTCATTTGCAGCCCAAAAAGCTTGCAAAAGTGTGAAAAACGCTGCGATGTGTGAAAAACTGAATGGATTTTCGAGGGCCAACTGCCGTGTGAATAGGTCATAATTTCAAATCGTCGGTCGTGTCGATAAAAGTGAAATACCAGTGTAGTTGTATAGTTACAAGCCCATGTAAATGGGTAGAAACGCACGGACAGAGGCATAAAACAAAAAGCTCGATGATGAAAATGGAAACTGGGCCCAGCATGATTTATGGAAATGTGTACTTACAGTTGAGGTCATAAAGATAGCACTAAAGAAGTTTTTTTTTAACATTTATGGATTAAATACTATCTTACTTAATAATTTTTTATTTATACATATTTAGTAAATTATCATGAAATCAATTAAAACTTACATACAAGTCATGGTAAATGAATTACTTACAGTTGAGGCTATAAAAATAGCACTAAAAAAGTTTTTTTTTTTCTTTAATATTTATTTCTTGACTGGAAATTTCACTTTATGTACTCAATATTTTCTAATTTAAAAAGTACTAAAGTTTTTCTCATGAAATCAATTAAAACTTACAAACAACTAATTGTAAATGAATTACCCATTAAATAACAATTAACTAGAATAACCCCAAGTGCATTTCGATGACACTCTAAACGAATTAGGCCCGCATGTAAAGCACAAACCCCCAGTAATTAGCCGCTTGTTATGTGTATATATATTATATACCCATATATACCCACTATATATATATATTTTGTAGCCCCCTATATATTACGTTTTGTCTGCTGTTTCGATGGTTTTTGTGAAGTGAATTGAATTTCCTGCAATTTCACGGTTTTGCCATTTGAATCCGGTTTGGGGGAGGGTTCTCGCCCCAGTTTTATGTTTTTTTTTTTTTTTTTTTTTCTTCCACCGCGTGATGTAATCGCTTTAAGTTCCATAGTAGCAATTGCGATCGGACATTCTAGTGGTGACCCCGGCGACCCGCGTGACGCCATCCCGAAACCAAACCCAAAAATGATAAAAGAAAATGAATGAATCACCGGTGAAATTAACTAACCGATTGCGAATTTTCCCACCATTCCAGTGATTCTCTTCTGAAGGCAACACAGACATTCGGTTTGGACTCAAGGATAAATAAAACGACGAACGGAGGAGTGGCGAGCTCCCTGAAAATAAAACACACGACACGAAACTCACGAAAACTAGACAATAGAAAGTACAACTAATCCACTGTGGAAGCAATAGATCCCCAGCCATGACGACGGACATTTCGATTGTTCGCTGGGATCCCAGCCAGGGTCCTGGCAACGAGTACATCGATGAGTACGAGTACGATGGCGGCAACTCCTCGTCGCGCCTCTTCGAGCGCTCCAGGATCAAGGCGCTGGCCGAGGAGCGTGAGAGTGTCCAGAAGAAGACCTTCACCAAGTGGGTGAACTCTCATCTCTGCCGCGTCAACTGCCGCATTGCCGATCTGTATGTGGATATGCGGGATGGCAAGCATCTGATCAAGCTGCTCGAGGTCCTTTCCGGCGAACGACTGCCCAAGCCCACCAAGGGCAAGATGAGGATCCATTGCCTGGAGAATGTGGACAAGGCACTGCAGTTTCTACGCGAACAGCGCGTCCATCTGGAGAACATTGGCTCCCATGACATAGTCGATGGCAATGCCTCGTTGAACTTGGGCCTCATTTGGACCATCATCCTGCGCTTCCAGATCCAGGACATCACCATCGAGGAGGTGGACAACAAGGAGACCAAGTCGGCCAAGGATGCTTTGCTTCTTTGGTGCCAGATGAAGACTGCCGGCTATCATAATGTCAATGTGCGTAACTTTACCACCTCTTGGCGCGATGGCCTGGCCTTTAATGCGATTATTCACAAACACCGTCCGGATTTGGTTCAATTCGAGAAGCTCTCGAAGACCAATGCCATTCACAATCTGAACAATGCCTTCGATGTGGCCGAGGATAAGCTCGGTCTGGCCAAGCTGCTCGATGCCGAGGATGTTTTCGTTGAGCATCCCGACGAGAAGTCCATCATCACGTATGTCGTGACCTACTATCACTACTTCAGCAAGCTCAAACAGGAGACGGTGCAGGGCAAGCGCATTGGCAAGGTGGTGGGCATTGCCATGGAGAACGACAAGATGGTCCATGACTATGAGCATTTCACCAGTGATTTGCTCAAGTGGATAGAGACCACCATCCAATCCCTGGGTGAGCGGGAGTTTGAGAACTCGCTGGCAGGAGTTCAGGGTCAATTGGCTCAGTTTTCCAACTATCGCACCATCGAGAAGCCGCCCAAGTTTGTGGAGAAGGGCAATCTGGAGGTTCTCCTGTTCACCCTGCAGTCCAAGATGCGGGCCAACAATCAGAAACCCTACACGCCCAAGGAGGGCAAGATGATCTCGGACATTAACAAGGCCTGGGAGCGATTGGAGAAGGCCGAACATGAGCGCGAGTTGGCTTTGCGCGAGGAGCTCATCCGGCAGGAGAAGCTGGAGCAGCTGGCCGCTCGTTTCGATCGCAAGGCTTCCATGCGCGAGACTTGGCTGTCGGAGAATCAGCGTTTGGTTAGCCAGGATAACTTTGGTTTCGATCTCGCCGCTGTTGAGGCGGCGGCCAAGAAGCACGAGGCCATCGAAACGGACATCTTTGCCTACGAGGAGCGTGTTCAAGCGGTGGTCGCCGTTTGCGATGAGTTGGAATCAGAGCGCTATCACGATGTGAAGCGCATTCTCCTGCGCAAGGACAATGTGATGCGTTTGTGGACTTATCTGCTGGAGTTGCTGCGTGCCAGGCGTATGCGTCTGGAGATCTCGCTGCAGCTGCAGCAGAACTTCCAGGAGATGCTCTACATACTGGACAACATGGAGGAGATCAAGCAGCTGCTGATGACCGACGACTATGGCAAGCATCTGATGGGCGTGGAGGATCTGCTGCAGAAGCATTCGCTGGTCGAAGCAGACATTAATATCCTGGGGGAGAGGGTCAAAGTGGTCGTGCAGAACTCGCAGAAGTTCCTTAGCGACGATCCCGAGTCGTACAAACCCTGCGATCCCGAGATTATCGTCTCGCGCGTCCAGCAACTGGAGGATGCCTATGCGGAGCTAGTGCGTCTGGCTGTCGAACGACGCAGTCGCCTGGAGGAGAGCCGCAAACTGTGGCAGTTCTACTGGGACACCGCCGACGAGGAGAACTGGATCAAGGAGAAGGAGCAGATCGTGTCCACCGATGAGGTGGGTCACGACCTCACCACCGTCAATCTGATGCTCAGCAAGCACAAGGCTTTGGAGTCGGAGATCACCTCGCATGATCCCCAGCTGCAAAATGTGGCCAAGGTGGGCGCAGAACTGATCACAGAGGGTCATTTCGGAGCCGATCGCATCAAGGATCGCTTGAAGGAGATCCTCTCCAAGTGGGATCACCTGTTGGACCTCACCAAATATCGCCGCCAGCGACTGGAGAATGCCGTCGAGTATTTCCAACTGTTCGCCGATGCCGACGACGTGGACAACTGGATGCTGGACACCCTGCGCATCGTTTCATCCGAGGATGTGGGACGCGATGAGGCCAATGTTCAATCGCTGCTCAAGAAGCACAAGGACGTAGCGGATGAGCTAAAGAACTATGCCGAGGTAATCGACGCTCTGCACAAACAGGCCGAGAGTCTCAAGCTCAACGAGGCGGAGAAGGCGGCGGTGGACAAGCGACTGGAGGCCATCGACAGTCGGTACAGGGAGCTCACCGAGCTGGCCAAGTTGCGCAAGCAGCGACTCCTTGATGCCCTTAGCCTTTACAAACTAATGTCCGAAGCGGACGGCGTGGAGCAATGGATCAAGGAGAAGACCAAGATGCTGGACACGATGACGCCGGGCAAGGATATCGAGGATGTGGAAATAATGAAGCATCGCTTCGAGGGCTTCGACAAGGAAATGAATGCCAATGCTTCCCGCGTGGCAGTGGTTAATCAACTGGCTCGTCAGCTGCTTCATGTTGAGCATCCGAACTCGGATGAGATTCTGGAGCGGCAGAATCATCTCAACCAGGAGTGGTCGACGCTGCGCGAGAAGGCCGAGGCCAAAATGGATGATTTGAAGTCCGCCCATGGCGTTCAGACCTTCTACATCGAGTGCCGCGAGACGATCTCGTGGATTGAGGACAAGAAGCGCATCCTGACCGAAACGGATAGCTTGGAAATGGATTTGACTGGTGTGATGACTTTGCAGCGTCGCTTGAGCGGAATGGATCGCGATTTAGCGGCCATTCAGGCCAAGCTTTCGAGCTTGGAACGCGAGGCCAACAGCATTGAGGATGAGCATCCCGAGGAGGCCAAGATCATCAGGGAGCGCATCTCGCAGATCGAACAGATCTGGGAGCAGCTCACCCAGATGCTCAAGGAGCGCGACTCGAAGTTGGAGGAGGCGGGCGATCTGCATCGCTTCCTGCGCGATCTCGATCACTTCCAGACCTGGCTCACCAAGACCCAAACGGATGTGGCGTCCGAGGATACACCCACTTCGCTGCCGGAAGCTGAGAAGCTGCTCACCCAGCACCAATCGATTCGCGAGGAGATTGACAACTACACCGAGGACTACAAGAACATGATGGAGTACGGCGAGCGGCTGACCTCCGAGGGCAGCACCTCCGACGATCCGCAGTACATGTTCCTAAGGGAGCGATTGAATGCGCTGAAGGATGGCTGGGAGGAGCTGCATCAGATGTGGGAGAACAGGCAAGTGCTCCTCTCTCAAAGCCTCGATCAGCAGCTCTTCAATCGCGATGCCAGGCAAACGGAGGTGCTGCTCAGCCAGCAGGAGCACTTCCTCAGCAAGGACGATACACCGGTTAATCTCGAGCAGGCCGAGAATCAGCTGAAGCGGCACGAGGCCTTCCTCACCACCATGGAGGCTAACGATGATAAGATCAATACGCTGCTCCAGGTGGCCGATACGCTGGTGGAGAAGGATCACTTTGACGCGGAGAAGATTGGCAAGCGGGCGGAGAATATCACAGGGCGAAGGGATGACAACAGGCAGAGGGCTTTGGATCAGCATGATAAGCTCAAAAACCAAGTCAAGCTGCACGAATTCCTGCAGGATCTTGAGGAGCTGGCCGAGTGGGTGCAGGAGAAGTATGCCACGTCGCAGGATGAGTCGTACAGGAGCGCCAAGACTATTCACTCCAAGTGGACGCGTCATCAGGCCTTCGAGGCGGAGATTGCGGCCAACAAGGAGCGCCTGTTCGAGGCCGAGAAATCCGCCCAGGAGCTGTCCAAGGAGAAGCCCGAGTTCAAGGACGTGATCGAACCGAAACTCAAGGAACTGGCCAAGCAGTTTGAGGATCTGGAGGTGCACACCAAGGAGAAGGGCGCCATGCTGTTCGACGCCAATCGCGAGGTGCTCGTCCAGCAGACCTGCGACGACATCGATTCCTACATCACGGATCTCGAGAAGCAGATTGTCAGTGGCGATACAGCGAATGATTTGACCTCCGTCAACATTCTGATGCAAAAGCAGCAGGTTATCCAGACACAGATGGCTGTAAAGGCACGCCAGGTGGAGGAGATTGACAAGCAGACGGAGTATCTCCAGAAGACCGTGCCCGAGGAGAAGATCGAACCGATTGTGGTTAAGAAGACGGCGGTCCTGGAGAGATTCGAGAAGATCAAGGCGCCGCTGTTGGAGCGGCAAAAGGCGCTGGAGAAGAAGAAGGAGGCCTTCCAGTTCTGTCGCGATGTCGAGGACGAGAAGCTCTGGATCGACGAGAAGCTGCCGGTGGCCAACTCACCTGACTATGGCAATTCCCTGTTCAATGTCCATGTGCTGAAGAAGAAGAACCAATCGCTGGCCACCGAAATCGACAACCATGAGCCGCGCATCAATGCCATTTGCAACAATGGACGCAAACTGATCGACGAGGGTCACGAGGATGCCAAGAAGTTCGAGGCGCTGATTAGCGATCTCACCCAGAAGTGGCAGGAGCTCAAGGATGCCATCGAGGGCAGGCGGAGGCATCTCCTGGAGTCCGAGAAGGTGCAGCAGTACTTCTTCGATGCCCAGGAGGCCGAGTCGTGGATGAGCGAGCAGGAACTCTACATGATGGTCGAGGATCGCGGCAAGGATGAGATTAGTGCCCAGAATCTGATGAAGAAGCACGAGAACCTGGAGCAATCGGTGGAGGATTACGCTAATACCATTCGTCAGCTGGGCGAGGTGGCTCGCCAGTTTAGCGGCGATGATATCTCCTCCGGCGATGCCGTTGCCGTCAAGCAATCGCAGCTGGACAAGCTGTATGCCGGACTCAAGGATTTGGCTGGTGAGAGAAGGGCTCGTCTCAACGAAGCCCTCCAGCTATTCATGCTTAGCCGCGAGGTGGACGACCTAGAGCAATGGATAACGGATCGCGAGGTGGTCGCCGGTTCGCAGGAATTGGGTCAGGACTTTGACCATGTCACTTTGCTTTCCGAGCGCTTCAATGAGTTCGCCCGCGACACGGAGGCCGTTGGAGGCGAAAGGGTGGCCAAGGTCAACGGAATAGCCGACAATCTCATTCAGGCGGGCCATTCCGATTCGGCCACCATAGCCGAATGGAAGGATAACCTGAATGAATCGTGGCAGGATCTACTGGAGTTGATTGAGACACGCACCCAGATGCTCGCTGCCTCGCGGGAGCTGCACAAGTTCTTCCACGACTGCAAGGATGTCCTGGGAAGGATCCTCGAGAAGCAGCACGGCGTGTCCGATGAACTGGGACGCGATGCGGGCTCCGTTTCGACGCTGCAGCGAAAGCATTACAATTTCCTGCAGGATCTGACCACGCTGTACTCGCAGGTCCAGCAGATACAGGAGGAGTCGGCCAAGCTGCAGGATGCCTATGCCGGGGACAAGGCCAAGGAGATCACCAATCGGGAGCAGGAGGTCCTGCATGCCTGGGACAATCTGCAGGCAATGTGCGATGCGCGCAAACAGAAGCTAGCCGATACGGGCGATCTCTTCCGGTTCTTCAATATGGTACGCATTCTGATGATCTGGATGGAGGATCTAGTGCGCCAGATGAACACCTCCGAGAAGCCACGCGATGTTTCCGGCGTGGAGCTGCTGATGAACAACCACCAGAGTTTGAAGGCCGAGATCGATACGCGGGAGGATAACTTCGGGGCGTGCATCTCGCTGGGCAAGGAGCTGCTCACCAGGAATCACTACGCGTCCGCGGATATCAAGGATCGCCTGATGTCGCTGAGCAACAGCCGGAATGCCCTGCTCCGCCGATGGGAGGAGCGCTGGGAGAATCTCCAGCTGAGTAGGTTTAACCCTTCTTTCTCTTTAACTTGTTGATTAAATGATTTCCCTTTTTTTTAGTTCTGGAGGTGTACCAATTCGCCCGAGATGCTGCCGTTGCCGAGGCCTGGCTGATCGCCCAGGAGCCCTACCTGCTCTCCTCGGAGCTCGGCCACACCATCGACGAGGTGGAGAACCTGATCAAGAAGCACGAGGCCTTTGAGAAGTCAGCCGCCGCCCAAGAGGAGCGCTTCAGTGCCCTTGAGCGTTTGACAACAGTGGGTGTTTCTCTCTATTATTAACTAGTAGAATATATTCTATATTATTTATATATTCCAGTTTGAGCTTAAGGAGATGAAGAGGCGCCAGGAGCTGGCGGAGGAGGCGGAGCGACAGCGCATCAAGGAGGAGCAGGAGGCCAAGGCCGCTTCGGAGGCGGCGGAACAGGCCAAACGAGAGGCTGAGCGACGCGACGACGTGGACGTTGGAGCCTCGCACGATGATTCAGGTACGGATAGGCATAGTCTTCTTTTATAGGATGCTTGTAGAGGTGGAGAAAATATCGTTGTTTAATGATATTTTACAAAAATCGATGTTTCCTCGATAAAAATCGATGGTTTTTTGACGTAAAAATCAATTTTTGACCGAGCTAAACTGGTCAAAGTTAGTTAAAAAATCAAAAAGCTAAGATATGGACAAACAGCTAAAGCATAATTTAAAATATGCAGCTGTTTTATTGTTCTTTCGTTTAATCTTGAAAAATTAATCGAAAAACATCGATGTTTTTTGACATAAACATCGAAAACATCGATGTTCCCAAAAATCGATATTTCTCCACCTCTAGAAGCTTGGGATTGTTGAAAGTGCATTGCAAGTATCTTCAGCAATCCCACATCATAATCCAGCTGTCCTCCACCAGCTATCCATTTCCATATCCATTTCCGCATCCCAATCCATATCCACCATCCATCCCAGCCGCACTGTGATCGCCCAACCCCGAGAAGATCAAGATCCCCCCCGTGGAATCGTCTCGTTTAACCAAAATAATCTCTTAACGTTTTCTGTCATTCAATCATGCTTACTAAACCAAATCACGGATTAACCAACTAACCAATCAACTTATGTAAACCCGTGAAGCCGCCAAAGACACGGCCGTCGAGTTCGAGCGCGTTGTCGAGATCCAAACAGGTATACAAATACGAGCACTAGCTAGGCGCAGAGATCCCTGGCATTTAGCATTTAGCATATAGCATTTAGCATTCCATTTGTGTTACATCATAGATCATAGAACTTTCAACTAATCGAAATTTATGGTGTGTGCTCCCCAGAACGAGGCGCAACTCCAGGCGCCGGCGAGGGTCACGAGGGCTATGTGACACGAAAACACGAGTGGGACTCGACCACCAAGAAGGCCTCCAACCGATCTTGGGATAAGGTAAGATAAGGGGATCTATTGGGGATCTATATATTATAACAAATGTATTTCTAACTATCATCTTAAGTGGGTTTAAAATAAGGTTCAATACTAAAGAATTCGCGTTTTAATTATTCTTTTATAAACGATTAATATATCTTATTTTTCACCGGTATTTCTCTATTTCTATTGGGAATCCATGTTATAATAAATTTCTTTCTAACTCCCATCTTAAGTGGGTTTAAAATTTAAGTTCAATACTAAAGAATTCGCGTTTTAATTATTCTTTTATAAGCGATTAATATACCTCTTTTTCTTTTTTTTATTTCTCAGGTATACATGGCTGCCAGGGCCGGACGCATTTCGTTCTACAAAGATCAGAAGGGTTACAAGAGTAATCCCGAATTGACCTTCCGCGGCGAGCCCAGCTACGATCTGCAAAACGCTGCCATTGAAATTGCCAGTGATTACACCAAGAAGAAGCACGTGCTGCGAGTCAAGTGAGTAAATCTACTATATTCTATATGAGCTTTATATTTGCTCACCTTAAAAAATTAAGAATCAAAGCCAGAGCATAAACTACTGAAGCTACAATATCTATATTTTTGACAAATATTCATACTATAGTGTAGATTATAGCTTTTAACCAAGTGAACCCAATCAACTCCAAATAAATATTAGTTTTTCTAGTAAAAACTAGTAATTTATATACGTAGGAGTTTTTCTAATTTTTAATCCTTCTTTGATGCCCTAAAAAATCATTACAAATCCGTATAGATGCTTAAAAATCAGTAACAATCACTAAAAATCCGTAAAAAATCAGTAAAAATCCGAAAAATCCTTTACTAAATAAGTTTATAATTTATATACAACCATTGTACTAATCAGATTTATTTTTCTCCCACTTACAGGCTCGCAAACGGCGCCTTGTTCTTGCTGCAGGCCCATGACGACACCGAGATGTCCCAGTGGGTGACCTCCCTGAAGGCCCAGAGCGACTCGACAGCGGTGGCCGCCAGCAGATCCCAGACTCTGCCAGCCACCTCACAAAAGGACGAACCAAAGCGCAGATCGTTTTTTACTTTAAAGAAAAAGTAAACTAACACCCCCCTTTCGTAACCGCAACACTTTAAGCAAGAGCAGCTAATTAAAACAAAAACAAAATGAGAAGGCTAAAAGATGATGAGAAAAATGATAATACAAAACAAGCGACAACAAATTATACAGCAAAAATTAAGAAGAAGCAAATATATATTTTTTTTTCATATATTTAAAACTTATTTCGTAATGAGAGGAAAACAAAAAACAAAAAACCGACAAAAACTTGCAAGAGAAGAGACGAGCAAAACGTAAACAATTATTATGCTTATCAAATTTGCACGATAAATACTGCTATTATGATTAAACGTATGTATCTTATTTATTTAAACAAATACAAAGTAATATAAAGATAAAAAAAAATACAAAAAACAAACAAAAAATTTGAGGAAACCAACTCGTGTATGCATTTCAATGTATTCGATAAATAAACGAAATATTCCTTTAAAGTACACCAATTGCCGATGAATTCGTGAGTTACTCAATTACAATTTATTTTGGAGCTTTCTTCTCGAAGAACCAATTACAAGTGGACTTTGGTCATATCCAGGTATGAACAGAAACATCTATGAATTCTTCTTTTTGGAGTTGGTCAGCAGGCTAATCAGCCGATTGTAGGGGATTTCGAAGAGCACAGTGACTACGATGGCCATTACGTAACAGATTACCGAACAGGAAATTGTGAGAAGGAGCTGGAATAATGGTAAAGTAATTGTGGATTAATTGTGCTATATGAGATATTAGTATAGTATAATATCTCAATAATAATCAGGTCAACATTCTTACTTTTTAGTAGACAGAAAAAAAGATCAAGTTATTCATATCATTTTGATATGATTCACAGTATTTGTTTGAAGAAATACTAAATTTGGTATTTTGGAAAAGTATTTTTAAACTTTTATGAAATGATAAAATATCAAGTTGATGTGCTTGAATCATAAATTTGACGTTATTGATATGAAATAAGGTAGAAATTACCCTATTTCATATCGATTTTGGTTTTCTGTCATAAATTTGACGTTATTGATATGAAATAAGGTAGAAATCACCCTATTTCATATCGAATTTGGTTTTCTGTGTAGTAAAAACTTAATATATTCCTTATATCTGAACCTACAGGTTTTCTTCTTATCACAACTAACATATAAAACTTACCAGCATCGTGTTGTCTGGATTCACTTCGTGGCTGAAGGAGTGATAGAAGTACATGATGACTATGGGATTCAGCAGGTAGATGGCGTAGGTGAAGCGGCTGATGCGCTGCACCGGCTCCGATTGGAGGAGGGTGAGCAGCCAGCGGGTGGGCGCGTGGCAGTCGCTGGTGTCCGTCCGGGTGCCGCAGATGATGAGGTGGCTGGCCAGCGTGGTGACCATGACACGCAGAATGACCATGAAAATGACGATGACACTGGTCGCCGGCAGCCGATCCATGGTCACCTGCTTGGCCAGCCAGCCGACGAGGAGCAGGGATCCCAATCTTGCCCATCGACTGGGCATGACCAGATCGAAGGGCGTGGCCAAGCCCTTGACATGGGTGTAGGCATACGAGCCGCCTATGATGTAGGCCAGCATCCTGATGAGCGGACTCATGTAGGACCACTCGTTGGTGTGGTACAGCTCCTCGAAGTTCGAGCCCACCTCCTTGACCTCCATCAGGACACTCGAAATGAGGGCGCTGATTACCAGCAGCAGGTGCGTTAGCCACTTGACCAGTTTCGGGTGCTTCGTGTGCCCGAAGAGGAGCAGCATGGCCAGCATGTGGAGCTGCATGTCGCAGCCCAGCGACCACGTCCACGATCCGCACATCTCCGAAATGGGAAACAGGTTCTGGATGAAGAACAGGTTCCGCATGGCGTGGCGACGGCACAGCTCGTCCTGCGGATCGGTTATGTGCAGCACGGACACCTGGCGCTGGTACTCCATCATTACCACGCCGATTAGTATGACCACGAACTGCAGCGGAGCTAGCCGGCGGTAGCGGTGGATGAACTGCCCCAGGTAGCGACGCACGTTGCCCCACAACCCATCGCTGGCTATCGCCCGCTGCAGCTGCTCGTCCTTCATAAAGTTCAAGACCGTGAGGTAGCCACTGCATTAAAAAAAGCGGAAAAATATTATCTACCTGGGACTTCCTTTGCGAATGCTGAAGAATTCGCGGTAATTTTTCATTAATTTTTACTTAAACGAGAGTTTTCTGAAGAATTCGCGTTAGTTTTTTACCAAATATTACGCCAAACAGAGTTTTCTGAAGAATTCGCGTTAGTATTTCGACAAATATTACGTCCAAGAGCGTTTTCTGAAGAATTCGCGTTAGATTTTCAACAAATATACGCCTAATTAGTTTTATCCTAAATAATTCGGAAAAGGATTATCTATGCTGAAGAATTCGCGTTTAAAGAGTGTGTTCTTAAGGATTTTGCCCAAAGAATTCGCGGCATAGCCTACTTTCAGTATTTCCTCACCTGACCACAAAGAATATCTCCACCATGCTGGGCCAGTAGGTGTGCCGCATGGTCATCGACACCAACTTGGCGAGCATCTCGACCGAGGGATCCACGGAGAAGTACTTGTACCAGATCACATGCACGCCAATCAGCGAGAAAGCGGTGAACACCCTCAGCCCGTTGATGGGCCTGTTCTCCTGGTTGGGATTCACCGGCTTCCAGGCCTGCTGCCAGTTGCTGGCCAGATCGAAGCAGGCCAGGATGCGCGACTGCTGGGCCAGGCTGGTGAGGCCCAGAAGAGTCACCGCGAGGGTGCCACCCACCACCAAAAGAAGCAGGTGCACCGCTCCGCTCTCGAAGAAATGCGGCTGTAGTTCCGGTTTCTTAACATACGATAACTTGGCGTCCATCTCCCAGCAGCTAAAGGAGCCGTTAGGAGCAGTTAGGGATCTGCGGATTAGCTGCTCCACCTCGGGGACGCCACAGCTGCGCGGCACGCAGAGACCGATGTGCAGCAGGGGATTCTGCTTGATGGATACCTGCAGCTGCCACGGCGAATTGGACTCCAGGTAAGCCACCAGGTAGTGGAATTCGATGGGCGACACTTCGCGCAGCAGGCGCAGATTGTTGTCAGTCATGTCCTGGAGCACCGGCTCGTTGACGGCGCGGCAGGTGAACCGGTTGCCCAGCCAGGTGCTCTGGCCCATCATAAAATTGGAGAAGCCTTCACCGGAGGCGTCCAGAGCTGAATATCAGATTGATATGTGCAGGTTAATTGAATATTTTTTAAAGATCAAGTTATTCATATCTTTTTGATATGCTTAAGGATTAAATTGATCTTATTTTACAATATTTGTTCAAAATTACTACACTTGGTATTTTAAAACGGTATTTTTATAACTTATATGAAATGATATAATATCAATTTTATAAGTTTAAATCATAAATTGGACATTAATCATATCGAAATGAAATGAGGAAAAAATTGACCCTATTTCATATTGAACTTCTTTTCTATACAATTTTTCATGATTTAAACGTAAAATTTCAGCGATTATTTATCTTCAATTTTTAATAACATAAAAATCGGATGTAATTAAAATATTATTATAATTATATAATTAAACAACTAATCCTTACCCTTAAGTGCCCAGGACTGCTGATCCTTCCAGGCTTTTCCGAGCTCCGCTAGCTGCTCCTCGCACTTGGACAGCGATAGTGATGTGTTTTGAAATTGCCGGGGAATTGTATCCACCAGGTCCATAAGTAGGGACTTCGATCCACATTCTCGGCCGTCGCCGAGCACAGCGATTATTTGGATCAGGAGCAAAACGACGAGCATGTTTGGGATCGGTGATCACCTCAGCACTCCACGACAGACGTCGCACAACTAGTTCTGCATTTGGGAATGGGAAAGCAAAGTCTGGACGACCCACATAACCCCCCCACTTTATTTAAGCCCCATTGATCCGTGACGCTCTTCAAGATCCGAGCAATCGTTTTATGGTCCTATCTGTTGTACTAAACCCGAGCTTGTTTTGCAGTTAGCACCAATGCCCAGGTGTTGGACTTATCGACTGAGCTTTACCCGGTACAGATGTACAGGTATACCATTCCTAAGTACCCGGAAATAACTTTTACTTTTGCTTTGTGCCTATTAGTTACAACAAAGCCAGGAATTAATAGCAAGACGACTTTGTCAAGATATTAAATTTCTAAAGTGTGTATAAAGTAGTCAAATTTACAACCTCTAATGAATTATATACTATCAAGAGATTACAAAGTAAAAGGGCTGGTCATAATTCTGCCCTTTTGTAGGTACTAAAATAATAAAAGTGAATAAAATAATTTGTATTTATTTTTTCTCCGAATCCATATTTTCCACACTTAAATATCAGTATTTTGGCCATAATAATAGAAATAATGGTCCAAATATGGATTGTAATACCTCGTTGAACTCGTAATTCAATTCCCAATCGATTGTTAGCTGCTCTAAACAGTCATTCTTTTAGCTGTGAGCCTTGATTTGTCCAAATTACGACCGAAAAGCCACAAAAAAAGGTTATTTTCGTCGAAAATTAGAATCCATATTTTCCACCCTCAAATATCAGTATTTTAGCCATAATAATGGAAATAATGGCCCAAAAATGGAGTGTTATACCTCGTTAAACTCGTTATTTAATCCCCAATCGATTGGCATTCAAACCTAGAAATTTTTAAAATTTGTCATTTTTTCCAAAAAATTGTGATGTTACCCCTTATCAAAAAAGTGAAAATTGATCCAAAAATTAATTTCCCTGAAAGTGATCGGGATCGTTAGTTTAGGTTGTTAGCTACTCAAAACAGTCATTCTTTTAGCTGTGAGCCTTGATTTGTCCAAATTACGACCGAAAAACGACCGAAAATTAGAATCCATATTTTCCACCCTAAAATATCAGTGTTTTAGCCATAATAATGAAAATAATGGTCCAAATATGGAATGTCATACCTTGTTGAACTCGTTATTTAATTCCCAATCGATTGGCATTCAAGCCTAGAAATTTTTAAAATTTGTAATTTTTTCCAAAAAATTGTGATGTTACCCCTTATCAAAAAAGCGAAAATCGATCAAAAAATAAATACTCCTGAAAGTGATGAAGATTGTAAGTTTAGGTCGTTAGCTCCTCAGAACAGTCGGTATTTTTGCTGTGCGACGCGGTTTGGCAAAGTTACGACGAATAAAGCATTACAAAATTGGGTACTGTGGCTCAAAGTTCTTATTTTCCAGCTTTTGTTGTACAATTGTACTCAAACTGTGAGTTACAGCACATTTGAATAATTTTTTTTAGCATACTTTTAGGTCGTGCGAAACGGCAACAGTTTTAGAGCCACTGTTCTATGCCAAGAGCGATCTACAGTTTGAGAAGTACTCTTGATCAAGATAATACAGTTTGAGAGCAATTGTTCAAAGCTAAGTGGCTGCTAAAAACTTTGGTCAAGATAGCGTCACATACTACCTCAATTTTTAGTTTTGGCGAAAAACCGTGGTCAAGATAGCGTCACTGGCAGGCCCATTTTGCAGCTCACAAATCCCACATTTAGCGAGCACACACACCATAAGTGCTGCCACTACACTTAGCGAGTATATAAACCACATTTAGCCAGCACACACACCGCATGTATCGAGTATCAAATAAGGGTTGCCAGATCGTTGCCACTTGATTTAGCGAGCACATCAACCAAATATCGACTGTTGGTCCATCCCTATAGCGAATACACCTACCAAGGTTGTGAACTGTGCTAAGCTAAGGTAGCGCCACCGATGGGCACAAAATCAAACGCGTTACTTTTCAAAAATCAATTTCCAAGGCGTTGTTTATTTTGGCACTTTATTTTAATTTTAATTGCAATTTGTTTATTAATCAAAATTGTACAATAATATCGAATTAATATTAGTTATTTTAGTTAGTTTATCGATTTAACGGTATCTATACAACAAACGTTAATATTAGTAGTAAAAAAAAAAACAAAAATGATAAAATAGACAATGTAATTAGGCGTATGTAGGCATTATAGTAGGTATTATCAAATTACGATTGGAAGAGGCGTGGCAGGACAGTGGGAATGGCTTCCACGTTGCTTTTAGATTTTCTTTTCTTATCTTTTGATTTTTATATTTTTTTAACATTACTTTTGTATTTCGTTATCGATTTACCATCAACTTTATAGCTTTTTCATTACCCATTTAACAATTGGTATCAATTGGTTGATTGGCCTTTTTGTTTTTATTTGCTGCTTGTCAAATGAAACTAAAGCCCACGGCCGAGCATTTGTTAGCAAATAGTTAGGGAATATGGTAGGGAATTAAATAGTCGAGCTTTCCCAATGCTATTTTTTAGGTTCTTAGTGAATTTTATAATGTATTTTGATTTTAAAAATTGAAAAAGTTCCAAATGAGGAATTTAAACACTAGACACAAGGAAAGCTCGACTATGGTTTCAAAATATAGGAGTGTAGGATCTTATGGTCTTGGTAGGATAATGGCGAATTACTTGCGATGGCCACCGGCGGCGGTGCGCAGCTCAATGATGGTGGCTCCCGAGCCACGTCGCAGATTCTGTTGCTGGATGTGATGGTGGTGGTGCTGCTGGTGGTGATGCTGCTGCTGCTGCTGATGGTCCACCTCGCTGCTGCGCCGCACAATGCTCGCGGTATCCTTGTTGAGCTCCACGGAGGGCGGCGAACGCGAGTCCAGCGAATACTTGGCCTGCAGCGGATACTTCCTGGAGCCACCGCCACCGTACTCCTCGTCGCCATGTATCACGCGGTAAAGATCCGGTGCCTGTTGATGCAGGCCACGCAAATACAGCTGCTTCTTATCCTGCTCCTGCTGATAGCTGCCGCCGACGATCTCGTCGTCATCGTTGCCCGGCCCGATCTTCGTGAGATCCTTTTGGCTGCGACTTATGAGATTCACAATCGAGGGGCTCTTCAGGCCGCCCTTCAGCGAGTTGTCCTTGCCGGAGAAGAGATGCGGATTGGACTTGTAGTTGGCATTGGGTCCCTGGCCCAAACCATAGCCAAAGTTCGGCTCCTGCTGCTGTTGCAGCTGCTGGCGTGGCTGTTGGTAGTTGTTCCGCGTGAGCTTCTCGATGTAGATGGGACTGGGGTCGTTGCTTCCGTTCATCCCGTGCACATTAAAGCTCTTGCTGCGATTCAGGACCTTGGCGTAGGTCCTGGCCGGTTTCGCCGGTCCCTGCGGCTGCATCTGGCCGGGAATCGGATTGCTGCTGGGACTTGGAATGGGATTCTGGTTCATCCCCCTTTGCTGCTGCGGTCCAGGAGCAACCGGCAGGTAGTTGCCCCTACCAGACGACTGCTTCTCCATCCCGTTGCCGAATCTCTGCTGGCTGCGCTGCTCGTGCAACTTGCGCGGCAGCGTCTGGGCCGAGCGGTAGTCCTGCTGCTGCTGGTGCAGATTGGGCGTAGAGCCACTGAAGCGCTGGCCGTGCTTCTGGTAGCGACCCAACGTGTGGGCAGCCGTCACCGGCGGCGGAGCCCGCGACTCGTAGTAGTCATCCTCTCGCTCCAAGCGCTCCATTCGCTCGTCCGGACGCTCCATGTTGCTGCTAAAAGTACGGTAAATAAATATTATTATTATCATGATTTTTATGATTTATTTTGAAGCGATTAGAAGGTTTATTTTCTAATCATATTTGTTTTTATAGTGCATGATACCCAGAAAATTAATAGATGTGAAATACGGTTAATTCTATCTTATTTCTTATCCTATTGCTTATGAAATAGGGTCAATTCTACCTTATTTCATATCATATTATGTACGAAATAAGGTAGAATTAATTCTACCTTATTTCATATCATATTGCTTATGAATTAGGGTCAATTCTGCCTTTTTTCATATCAATAAAAATCTAAAATGATTTATGTGAAATTTATGACTCAAACATATCAAATTGATATTTAATCATATCATATAAAATACCAAATATAGTATTTTTTGAACAAATAATGTAAAATAAGATAAACACAATCTTTACTCATATCAAAATGATATGAACAACTATCAATCTGATATTTTATCAATTTTTTTCCTTACCGCTGGCGTGGCCGTCGCTCGTAGAGATTCTCCTTGCCGTAGAGCGTGCTGGAGTAGGGATCTTCGCCCAGGTAGTACCGCTGCCTGGGACTGATGGCCTGGTGCTCCAGGTGCTGCAGCTGGGGATCCGCGGACTCGGCGCGCTTGAAATTCAAACGCGATTGGTTCTCCTGCTTGGGAGGCTCCCTTTCCCGTTCCCGATCTCGATCTCTTTCCCTTTCCCGCTCCCTTTCCCGCTCGCGCTCCCTTTCTCGCTCCCTCTCCCTGCGCCGCTGATTATCGCTATTGGAGTCCTCGGAATCGTGGCTACCGATGTGCCCATCGATCACATTGTACTGCTGGTAGGTGGTCACCGGTGGACCCACTCCTCCTCCTCCTCCACCCCGGGGATCGTGTCCCGGACTGGGCGACTGTTCGCGCGACTTGCTGGCCGCCGATTTCATTCGAAACTTTCGCTCGGCACTGGCCGAACGGATTTTGCTGACCAGCTTCCGCAGCGAATTGCCAATCGCCTGGCCCATGCGGCTGGACTTGGAGGTACTGCCTCCGCCGTGACCTCCGCTCATGGCCGACAGGTTCGAGGTGGAGGCCGAGGTGGCGCCCGGTGGCCGGAGGTTGCCTGCCCCTCCGGTTGCCGGCGGATAGCTGGATGTGGGTGCGAATCGGGTGCGCTGCTGCTGCTTCCGGCTGAGGGTCATCGTGCTGGCGGGCACATCTCTAAAGGGAGAATAAAGTATAGTTTAGATATTAGTAATATTTGTAAGTAGAACAAAATTGAATTAATTTAAAATATTCACTTATTTGGAGTTGGTATAAAATTATTCCTGCCTTAAAAAATATATAAAATTATTTAGTGAGCTAACTTTTAAAAACTCAGGGCTAATATTTATTAAGTGTTATAAATCTGATGTATCTCTGTTTAAATTTATTTCGCATGAAGAAATAACGAAATATAAAAATATAGGTTTCTCAAAAATCCATAATTAAAAAATCATTTAAATTTCTATTTAAATAGGTGACTTTTTAACCAGCTGATTAATATGAATGAACTTGAAATATGTATGAAATTAGGTAATCCAAAAAACTTTCTTTGATTTTAAATGAATAAAATTATATAAAAAAAGATTGCAGTCGTAAAGCCCTCTGATGACGTCACAGACTCTGTTTTTTGCATTCGCTTTAATTCCCAAGTGTGAATTCCGCATTTACTTTTGTACTGCAATATTTCTGGGGTAATTATTATTTAAAAATAAATATCTTATTGTTTTAAGTAATACAAAAAATATTTTAATTTACTGAATGTATATTAAAAATCTTAATTTTTTAAATTATACAAGAAATATTCATCTTAACCAGAGAATAAATAAATAAATAAACAAAAAAATATTCCAATGCAATGAATGTCTATTAAATTGGAATATTTGTTGTATTATTTCAAAAAATAATATAAAATAAAATGGATATATCCACCCACCTGGTCATCAGGTAGTCCACCTGCGGCGAGGACGAGCGACTGCGACTCCTGGGCGGCGGCGAGTAGTCCGGCGGCGGTTCCAGCTGGCTGACCTGCGAGGGCAGCGGAGCCTGCGACTTGACTGCCGGCAGATGACCGCCCGTATGCGATGTGTGGGATGATGAGTGGTGGCTGTGGCTGTGGCTGTGCTCGCCCAGCTTCTTTTCGATGGCACGTCGTCGCTGCGGGACGGTGGGTCGCGGATTGAGGCTCAGCTGGCTGCCACCGCCATTGCCGCTGTACTCTAGAACTCCAACTGGAACTGCGGTGGGCAGCTGAGGAGGAGGCTGAGCAGCTGGCTCATAGCTCTTGCCACGTCCATTGGTCATCGCTCCTCCGTTTACCGCATGCCCGTTGATGGCGCCGCTGCGATGACCGTAGGCTACTCTCTTATGCGACGGTTCCTCGGGGCCACGCGGTGAGTTTATAGATGGACCCGGTCCAGGTCCTGGTCCCGGTATGGCCTCCAAATCGTCCAGGGCATCGCGAGAGCCACGCATCGAGCGGGCCAGGAACTGTGAGGAGAGACTCTGGCGCTTCTGCTGCAGTATATCCTCGCGGCTGACATAGCTGTCCTTGGGCTGCTGCTGCTGCTCCTGGGCCAAAGCCAGGGATCCCTGACTGGAACCAGGCGGGCCGCTGACCTTCTTCTTCAGCCCATTCCTTCGAATGGTCTCCTGCAGATCGTCGCGAAAGGCCTGCGACGAGAAGTGATTGACCGCCGGGGATCCCTGGGGATCCTTGCGTTCCGACCAGTTCGAGATGCCCTGGAAGTACTTGGAGCGACCGCCGGCCGAGTTGCCCGGCGGCTTCCTCTCCAGCGTGGCGGCTGTGGGATGGCGTTCCCTTTCTCTTTCCCTCTCCCTCTCCCTCTCCCTTTCGGCGCTCCTGGGCAGCGTCTGCGGGTGGTGGCCATGGGAGATGTGCTGCGGATGCGCATGCTGCTGGGTGGCCAGGTGCGATTGGGCATGGATGTGCTGCGCATGCGCCTGCGGCTGGCTCTGCGACTTGATTGTCACATTGAAGTAGCTCTTCTTGGTCGGCTCCACGGCTTCCGCATCGGCCTCGTCGTCGCGGGAATCGTTGGAGGCGGTGGACTCGCTGCCAAAGTGCGACTCCAGCCACTTCATCGTCTCGCCCTTGCGCGTCTCCTCCTCGCGATCGAAGTCCAGGGGTCGCTTGGTCAGCGCATCCTTGCGATCCGCCAAAAGGGCAACCTCTGCAATTTATATAATATAAAATAATATATAACAATGAGTTTAAAATATATAAAACAATTTTTAGGCAATGTATTAAGTAAAATAAAAAAATAATTGTACAATTCTCTAAGGTTTTTAGTATAAATTAAATATTATTAGGATATTCTAATTTATAGAATAGATTTTTATTAACATTTTATGCGAGAAATATATGTGTTTTATTTTATTTGTAAGCTCTAAACATAAAGTAAATATTTGAAAAACAAAAAAATTTAATTTAATTTATTTCTCGCTAACAAAATTTTTTATTAAACATACTCTTAATAATCTCTGCATTTTTTTTACATTGGTAATTTAGTAAAACATGTTAAACAAAATTAATTATTTTTTAAGATTCATTTGAACCCAAATTTTTACAACGTTTCGATCTTTAAGTTTTTTGCATCTTCGATTGTTATCTTAAATTGATTGTATTTATTCAAGTTATGCAATATTTTATTGAAATCAAAACGAGTTTCGGGCTGAATCATTTAATCTGATGTCATCGATTAAAAAACTGAATATGTCAAATTGAATATAGAACAATCAGTTAAAAGAAAAGAAAAACTACCGAGCTAAAGGGAGTGCGAGGGAGATGGAGATATGCAATTGTCAAAGTAGCGCCATCTAGCGGTTTTTTTTTACTTTACGAGTAACGGGTATAATAAAATGGGTTAAATTAAATTTGTTTTAAAATTTCTTACAAAGTATAGGAAAAGCTTTAAAAATTCTAATAAAATTTAAATTAGACAGATATCTTTAAACTATATGATGAAGGATAGCAAGAGCTAGACTCACCCTTCTGTTGCTGCTGCTGGGAGCGGCGAAGCTTGCGCATCCGGTCGGAGAGGCTGTCCCAGTCGCCCGGTCGCTCCAGATCGGCGGGTCCGTCCTTGTCCATCTGCGTGGTCTCGGCGGCGTAGCGCATCTCGGTGGATTGGAGCCGCCCGTTGGCTAGCACGTCCACATGCTGCTCGTCCCGCTGGCGGAAGAACCGCTGATTGGCCGCCGTGGTGGTCACCTGCTCGCCCACCTGGAGCTGCAGTCCGCGTTCATCGGAGTTCGCAGCTGGAAGATCGGGCAGCTCGTCGTCGAGGATTAGCTCGTGCTCGGTGGTGCGCCGACTCTCGGTGACCAAAGTGCCGTCCTCCTGGGCCAGGCAACGCTTCTGCGTGTCCTCCGAGTCGATGGTCTTGCGGGACTTGCTCCGATTGGCCACCACCTGCGGTCCGAGGGGCACCAACTGTCGCTGGCTCTCCGGCGAACAGAGGACGGCCTCGAGGTCCTCGACTCCGTCGCGAACTGCGTTCACGTAGGTCTGCAAAGGGGGAAGCAAATTATAGGAATTTAGTTTTAAATTAAAACAAAATCTTAAATAGGATAAAATATGTATTGATAAGTTAAGAATATAACTTTAGTAAATAAATTGAATTTATTTGAATTTTTTAATTTAAGTTAGAAAACAAGAAAGGAAGCTAGCTTCGGCAAGCCGAAGCTTATATACCCTTGCAGATCATTCTATTAATTTACAAATCGCAAAAATTTTAAATTTCTTATTATTTCACATTAATTTTTCGATCGTTTCTATCACAGCTTTATGATATAGTAGTTCGATCTTTTAAAAATTAAAATCGAAATTTGGAAATATTTCAAAATAGTCATATCCCAGAGTAGAAGGGAATGTAATAAAAACCAACAAAGATATAATTTTTTCCCATTAATTTCCATTTAATTTTTCGACCGTTCCTATGGCAGCTATATGATATAGTGATCCGATTTAAAAAACAAAAAAACCGAAATTCAGAAATAAATAAAAAAAAATATTCCCAAGAGTAGAAGGTAAAATTTCAAAAAACACCGAAGCTAGATTTTTTTTACGTTTTTTTTTTTTTGATCCTTCCTATGGGAGCTATAAGATATAGTTGTCCGATCCGGTTGGTTCCGACATATATACTACCTGCAATAGAAATACGACTTTTACGAAAGTTTCATTTCGATAGCTTTAAAACTGAGAGACTAGTTTGCGTAGAAACGGACGGACAGACGGACGGACAGACGGACAGACGGACGGACAGACGGACGGACAGACGGACATGGCTAGATCGACTCGTCTTGTGATGCTGATCAAGAATATATATACTTTATGGGGTCGGAAATGTCTCCTTCACTGCGTTGCAAACTTCTGACTGAAATCATAATACCCTCTGCAAGGGTATAAAAACTGAAAATTCACATATCATTATGAATATTTAATAAATAAAGTAATGTAAACTACATATTGGAGATTGTATTTTTCGATTTCTCTATTTTCGAAAATTCTTTAAAATCGATAAGGAGTCATAAAGCTTCAGAAAAGAAATCCAAGCTAAATTAATTTAGTTATAAATTAAAACTAAATATTAAATAGGTAATAAGATTATTGAATTAAGAATATAACTATGATAAATAAATAAATTTAATTTATTTTAATATAAGTTAGAAAAAAAACTTGAAATTCACATATCATTTTGAACTTAAAGAAATGTTAGCTAGATATTCAAAATTGCATTTTTCAAAAATTCTTTAAAATCGCTAAGGAGTGATAAAGCTTTAGGAAAGAAATCCATTTCAAACAAATTCAGTTTTCTATAGCAACCCGGAATAAAAATAGTATTACTCTCTAGCATATTATCCCAGATTCGTTTAACGGATTCCCAATTGGTAAACCATATCATCTGCGGCCCACTCCCCCCGCTCTCCACTCCCCAGAAAAGGGTTGCATAATTTTCCAGCGATGCAGTCACTGCACATGGAAGGGGGGCTCCTAGCCCCCTTAGCCCCCCGGGCAGCACCTATTCCTTACGCCCCTTCCTCGCCTCAGTATTCAGTATTCAGAGCAAGACAAGACAGCGAAAAACCACAAAACAAATCCACAATCCACTTACTTTTTCGAGCTGCCAACGCTGCGGATGGGGCAACGTCATTGAGGTAACGGTAAAAGTCAAGAATGCGACTCAAGAATGGGGGGAAATGGGGTGAGGTGGTTACACAGTAAAAAATACCTATGTAACTTAAAGTTGCTTAATATTTAACTGGCATGCAATATGCTACGATATGATAAGATATATTTTAATGTGTTAAGAAATTTAAATTTCTGACAATGAAATAAATATTTTTAAAGAAAATTATCATTGAAAATATTAAGTTTAATAATCGTTTGGTAAAGCTAAAGATTTTATTTTTATTTAGGATAGCAGTTATAGTTCTAAGATTTAAAATAAACTATCTGCTTATAGAAAGTAAAGTTTTTGTATCTTTGTTCTTATCACTTTCTAGGTAGCCTGATTTTTTCCCGTGTAGGGGGATTGCAGAAGGGATTGCTTCGGCATGGACAGCTCAAGGTCGAATCGCAATGGGTATCGCATCTTGGATTTCTTGGATGACGAGCAGATGGCACGCCTGGGTGACGCTGGTCAGCGGATAAAGAGCTAAAGAGTTGTAGTATCTCTTCGTCTTCGTCATTCGAAGCCGAAGTCGATCCCCCATGTCGATCCCCCCCTCACTCAGCTCCTCCGCCCCTGAACCTGTTGTTTTTTTTCTGTTTATTTTTTTAGTTTTTTGTTTGTCGACGACCTTGCGTTAACGGTAACGCGCGTAGAAAGTGTTTTGTTGTTGCTCAGCCAGTTGCTTTTTTCCATCTCACTCGCTTTCAGCCAGAAACTTGATGGTCAGTCAGGCTCTAAGCCATATTTATTTACCCATCCCCCTCCAAAAACCACTAATCCCAACTCAAAACCCCTTTGGACACGAAATATGCAAGCATATATGCTGATAAGTTTGGGGCTTTTCGAGTGTTGGTTTTATTTCTGCGCTGATCTCTTCAAAAAAGATTGATCAACAAAACGATGGAGGGGAGATTTCTTCGATCGAATGGTGATTAATATCTATCGATGACGTTGCTGCTGACGCAGAGCTTGGACTTTTGAGCGGGGGACAAATGCCCCTTCACCTTTATTCCCTTATCCCCCATTTCGATGATTTTGCTTTTGGTTTTGGCATTGTCAAGTTATTTGTCATTGACCAAAAATACCGTAATCACCTTGGCGGGCATTTTTGTATGCTTTGGAACACCGAGCATATTGGCTCGTCAAGTGTTTTGATCTTTGATGTATAATCATAATTATAATAGCATTTATTGGATTCCCTAAAGTGTTTCTTAGCTTTGCACTGTTTTTATTTAACTAAGTAGGAACAAAACTTGATATAAAACGATGATCAATTTGATGTTATGTGGTATCAATTTTGACTCCCACTCATGTAATTTTAAGTCGCCATGAAACTTTTATTTAATATCAATTTGACCAGGAATTTATCATGCGCATATCGATTTGAACCCGGCGTGTTAGAAAAGTCAAATTATTAAATCTTAAAAGCAATTTTCCAGTACCAAATAACCCCACACCAAAATCCTAAAAAACCCCAAGTGCGTTGACAACTTTTCCCGCATGTTGTGATTTATCTTGATTCGCTTTATTGCCTTCACCTGGCCGAGTCCCAAAACGGAATTGGAATTCCAACGAAAAGCGGCTGGAAAAGAGGGTTTCCCAGGTGCAGGAGGGCCTGGTGGTAGTTAAGTACTCATACTCGTACTCCAACTGGTACTTTTAAGCCCCATACTTCGTATGCAGCGCTCATGTTGCGGCCAGCATATTCAAATGGACATTTCGCTGGCCATGTTGCCTGGCCTGGCATGCCAAGTGGCCAAGTGGCCAGAGCCAGCAGAAAATAAATGAAAAACAAAGCAAAATCGCAATGGGAAAAAAGAGAAATGAGCAAATTTGTGAAGGCAGCCAAAGGGGGCGGGATGAAATGGCAGTGGATCGAGTGGTCGAGGTAGCGTATTGGACCAGGGTACACAGTGAGAAATAAATGAATTGTAAAACCGTCTAGCCCTATTTAAAATTTCAGTAATAACTAGACGTTGGTCTTATGTGAGATCGTTTTGTTTTAAATACGATTTCAAGTATTATAGTATCGATATTGTAATCATATCGACAATATCGATAATTTGTAAATATCGAGAAATAGCAAACTGTCGATATTCTTTCAAGCTCTAATTTCAAGTCACTTTTGATAGGTTAAAAATGTTATTATAAAATCATAATTTCGGGTTTGTATACAAATTTCAAACCCGTAAAGAATGGCTGGAATTTGGCTTAAAAAATCGATTACACATCAAATCTGACGTCTCTATTGAGTTGTTTTTCAATGAATGATCGAGTTAGTTTTAAAATGTGATACCTATAAGCTTAATTGAGATTAAGGAACATGTTTTCAAGGAAAGGTTCTTAAAGTTTCGATATATTCTCTTCCCAAGGTTTTAGTATCTCCTGTTTGTTGAATATTGTTTTGTATCTGACAACAATGGATTGTTTTAGCCTTTTTCCCTGTGTACACAGTGGAGTGGATAGCTTGGACCCAGCGACCAAGACCAAGCAAGACCAGTTTGCCTTGGGAGTTGCTCAACCTCTCCGAACTGAGGCAAAATGAACCGAGCTGAGGAGCCGAGCGAAGCGGAGCGGAGCGGAATGGAGCAGAGTAGAGCTCTCGATCGATTATTATTATTGTAATTCAGTTAGTGTGCGGCCAACGCCAACGCGCCTGCATATGATAATGATGTCTACACGGTAACAAAAACCAAAGGCGATTTCCTCTTCACAGATCCGGCAGATAGCATCAAAGGTCATTTGTGTGGGTCGCGAAAAGTCAACTTGCTTTTGGCTTTATCATTGGTCAAAGTGATCACATCGAAATTAGAATACCAATCTTGAAGGCAAAAAAAAAAACTATGAAATTCAATAAATCGGCATTAGTTCAAATTATGAACCTTTATAAATGAAATAATGTTATGATATATTATTTCTTATATATTTCATTATTTTACAATTTTTTTGCATTTATCATAAAGCTTGGAAAAATATCGACAGTTTGCTATTTCTCGATATTAAATATTTGATTTCACATCAATACATCGATATTATCGAATCAAGATTGTGAAAATATCGAAAGTATCGATAATTTCCTAACTCAAATTTATCATTAAATATTTATTAGAACCCCATAGAAGTTGTAGTATCATCTGAGATGTGAAAAACCCCAAAGCCTGCGGTTATTTCAAGTGCACATTATTTCCCCCAGTGTAAACGGCTGTTGAGGCTGGTGTTTTTGGGGTTTGGAGACCTGAAGCTGGAGTTAAAGTCAAATTCGAGGCTGGAGTTGTGCAGTGGCCAGCCAAGCTGGGAAAGATACTTGGTCTAGGTTTGGGGTTTATCGTTTCCGTTGCGTGAATTGTTAAGTCTAAGCCGCCTTTGGAGCCCCCTTTCTAGACCCCTTTGGAACTCGGGCCGGCTGCTGCTGCTGCTGATTGGCATTTGCTGATTAGAGTTGTTTGGGCTGGATTGGATTGGTTTAGCATGTGGGGGCACCTAGGCACCTAGACAGACTCGAAACGAGTTTTCGGCCAGCAAAGTACCCGTACCCACTCACACAGAGCGCTACGTGGTCACATAGATACTGCGGCTGAGCTGAGACAAAAAGAAGTACACGTACCGAGAGATACAAAATTTAAATTCAAATTCCAAACACTTTTTGTGGTCGCTTTCCACAAAACTTTTCTGAATCTGAAGCTGTAGTTGAATCTGAGTGTGGCATGGACGAATTTAATGTGCTGTGTACTTATGTATATCTCGCACTGTGGGGTTTGGTGTTTGGTGTTTGGCTGGTTAGTTGGTTAGTTGGTGGGTTAGTGTTTGTGTATATCTGTATCTTAGGTTCATGGACCTGCCGCAGACACGCCTAGAATCCAAGAAAGCCAAGCAGCAGAAAGGAGCAGCAGCAGCAGCAGCAGCAGTAGCCGCGCCGCGCACTTTGGCTATTGATTAAACCTGGCTCAGAACAGGTCTACCACTGCCCCGGGCCTAAAGCCAGCTGCTCTGGCTTTTTTTCTTCAGCCTTAGTGTTTCGCCTTCGGGAGAGTGTGCACTCCCATCGCCCTCTCTCTTTCTGCCCAGCCTCTGCCCGTCTCTCTCTCTCGCTCATCCCCAGTGTGTATGCCTTGCAGTGTTGACCACAATTTAACCATCGAGGAGCTAAGTTCACAGAACTAAATACGAGATTTTAGTTAACTAAGCTAATTAATGAACTCTAGGGAATTAAAAAGAATATCAAGATGCATTCGAAGCTAGAACCAGTTGGGAATTATAGCACCGAAGTGGTTAAAGACAAACTTAAAGGTATATAAAAAACTAATATTTGTAGGAACAATACTTTGCAAAGCAATTCTAATTTAACTAAGTTCTTTAAGTTTTTATTTTATTATAATAACATTAATTATAGTTTAAATAAATATATTTTTACGTAATCTTGGTCTCAAATAAGAAATCAAAAATTTAAAACATCTAAATATTTCTGTTAATATTGTAATCGTTATATCTTTTAAATACAATAAAAGAGATAAGAAAGTAATCACTACTATATCATCTAAGAATATTTAAAGCCTTTAATTAATTATTATTTTCTTTATTTAATAATTATTCATTTCAAAATTCTAACCATTTTAGGGTACAGAAGAGGGACAGCTCTGATGGCTTGTAAGTGTCCGTATAACGACCACAACAAGAGCCCCACCACATCTTCAATGGCATTACCTTTTTGGCTTGGTTAATTGCCAACTACCGGTTTAAGTTGGTCTTTTGGGTTCCCCCCATAAGACCCCGTCGAATCATTTGTTTTAGGGGAGGAAATTTCGGGATGCTTACGGCCTTAATTATAGCATTAAGTATTGGAACATATCGCACCTTGATAATTATGCAAATTGGGGCTGCTCCTCCTTGTGTTTCTCCTTCTTCTCTGCTCTTCCGCTAACTCTTCTTCTCTTCACAAAATTATCGATGCTCTAATCTCTGTTGCACCATCTACCAGCTTAACTTGGCCAAAACGGCCCACGCATCAACAACTAAATTAAAACAAAAACTAAGCCGCACACAAACACACACACTAAACACTCACTAATATTAGTTTGTATTTGTAAACAAAAAAACAACAACAACAACGCACAGCCGTGGAGAAAGAGAGATAGAGTGGCAATACCGATAACTGATCAGCGATTAACGTGATTTTTCCACCGATTGTCTTTCAAAGCATGCAAAAAAAGAAAAATAACAGTACATCAAGGCGACGCGCGGCGAGTGGAGACGCGAAAAGCCATCCGAGTTGTATTCTCTTGGCTCGCTCAACGGCAACTGATCGTCCGACGGCTCCAAAGGCAAAGTAATCGGCAGAAGCATAGCGCCAGCTGAGGCAGCGACTGCGACGCCGGCCGAGGCAGCGGCAGCGACGACAGCGGGATGCAGCTCCAAAAACAACACCAATAACTTTCGAATGAGCTTGAAAGCAGAAAAAAACAACAACAGCAAAAAGAAGAAGAAAAAAGAGAAAAACACAGTTGACACTCACAAGTGTGAACGGTGTGTTATTAAAATCGCAGCTTCCACATATCTAAATCGATAAATTTGTAGCCTGTCGAAGGACCAAAATTCATTTTCTTTTATATTTATACGAAATATCAAAAGATAACGATTTTGTTCACTACACGGAAAGTGCACTGTACAACAATAAAAAAAAGCCAACTAGCCAGTGCTGCTACATTGTTGCTTTTCACGCCGAATTGATTTTCAGTTATTTACGCCAATTTTCGGTTCGGCCTGTCCACACAGTCCTGTCTCCGATTACACAGGTAAACACTTGGAAAAATAAAGAATGATTTATTTTATGTTTACTTGGTGTTCTTGACTAGGTGTTCTTGACTACAAGTTACTCTATAATTGAAGAAACATTTTTCACTCTATCATTTTAGTTGATGATAGAACGTTTTTTTTTTAAATTTTTTTAGATAATATATTTAATTTAATTTAATTCAATTCAGACATTAATCTGACTTTTCTTAGTATTTTTAAAATTTTATATGAAAATTTTTTTTAATGTAGTGCCTGAGTTCGCAACCTATCTCTTAAGCTGAACCGCTCCTGTTTTCGTTTAACCCAACCGGTCTTGGGTGATCTTCTTCTTGTTCAGAGCAGAGAGTGGTGCAGACAATGAGCCACCGAACCGAACCACACAGCACCACTCGTGATGGAGATGAAAATATGGTTAAGCTGAAGCTCGGCCCGAAGATGAATAACACTCCACAGTGGGGGGTCGGAGGTCGGGAGTGGGAGCTACATGTAGTTCCACGACGACCAAGTGGAGGTTAAACCCATCAGGCCCCTTCTAATAAGAAAATTGGAGCTTTCCCCACTACTCCCCGCCAAAAACATCAATCATTCACGATCGTTTTGAAGACATTTTCCGCTAAATTCGCAGTAAATTGAATTTTCTTGATCAATCTCTCAAATTAGAGGGTGTTAAATAAAGCCAGCTTATAAATAAGTACTTGGTAATTTAGCTGCAATTTAGCTGTTACGAAAATAACAAATTTAAACTGATGTTATTTAATATAAATTGAAAAAAAAAACAAATTCAGAAGCAATATCCTAAGATTTAAATAGTAGGTACAATATTCGCTCCCAAAGGGTCTCAGAATTCTAGTAAAACATAAAATTAAATCTCTCTTGATTTAAAATACAGAATCAAGGGGCTTTAGGTAAAATTAGTTAGGGACTCACCTGATCAGTAAAGTCGCCGTGATGCTTGACGTCCTCCGTTTCGTGGTAGTCCTTGATCTCCTCGTGCGATATTACCCGCTTGTCGTCCGTCTGACGCACTAGTCCGTCCACCGGACGTGGAACCATCCGCTTGACCAGCTTCCCAGCCCCATCCGCCGGTCCGAAGACCTCTTGAATTTGGGCCAACTGCGTTTCATTTACGGCGCCCGCCTGCAGGGCGGCCACATCGATCAGCTGGGCATTGCCATCAAGGTCATCGGGCAGGTCAAGGTCGCGTTTCTAAAGGTTAAAGAAAATGCATAGAAAATTATATGAATATAAAATATTCAAAAAAGTAATCTGAAAGATTTGATGTTAAAATAAACTCACCTCAGTGGTTTCCGTCTCCTGCTTATCGGTGTCCTCGGTCGTGTTTGTGGACACAATGGGTCCCGAATCCTCGATCACCTTGCCATCCTGCAGCTTCACATTTCGCTTTACTCTCGTTTCGATCTGTCTGGTAGTTGTGAGTTCGGTCTTGCGCTTCGTTATCCACTCCTCTGAAATGGGTTTACGATGGAAATTAAGTATTTTTCAATATTATTTTAATAACTAATTTAAATATAAATAATAGTACTATAATATTAAATTTAACCCAATTTTAGTTTACAGTATTCAACATAATTTTTCGAATAAAACACACAAATTTTTCAAAGCTTTCCCCATATTTTTGGCTGCATCCCCAAAAGACGGCTACAAAAGACACAAAATTGGCAATATCAAGCTTGGGTTTAGACCAAAATCAAAGCTCTTATAAGCCGGGTTTTTTGTTCAGCGCTAAGCTAACTATTTTGCAGACAGGACAAGATGTTGCCTAATGGCAACTGCTTTTATTTTTTGGCACCAATTGCAACAGAGCCAACTGCCCAAGATGCCTCATTTGCATGTGGATAATGCCCATTTTGAGATCTACTCCGCCACTTCTAACAAAAGAAGTCGGTAGGGTGGGGGGCCCAAAGGGGCGTAAGGGGGCGTGAAGCGCTCCAGCGCATTCGAGCTGCTCGCCAAATTACGTAACCGTAAGACCAAGTTGGTCTCTCGGCTAACTGTGCTCTATACCTCCCAGTGCTGTCGGGTTACTTTTTTCTAAGAAAAAAGCTATAGTTAAATTAGGAGGAAAAAAAAGGAAATGACAAAAAATGAACCTACAACTTGGCACGTTTTTTACATTGCAAACTTTTTGTTTCTTTTTCAAAAAAAAACTTGCAATACTGATTTAGTTTCACATGGTTTTAAGACTATAAATCAAAGAGAAAAAAACTAGGGAAAGAAAATATATATATATAATTTTGTTTACAAATAATACAAATAATTTATATATTTTGAAAATTCAAGAAGGAAAAATTGGTTAATTCTATTAGTTCATAATAAACTTTTAAGCATAAACTTTTTTGGTCCTTCTTATAGCTTAAGCCATCTTTAATAAATCACAAAAAAAAATCTATAAAAAAATTATATATTTTTTAAGTAAAAAATTAAGCATTATTCAGGGTAGCAGCACTAACTCTTTTGTTGGGCAACCTGTACCGAAACCCCAAGCGATCTGGGAGTTGAGAGCCGAGAGCTCCGAGCACGGACATCCGACAAACTGGCCGGCGTGATTTCCCTGCTGCTTTTTTTTCCTACATCTTTTGGGTGGAAGCGGGGCAGGGTTTTTTTTTCGCTCCACGAGTGCCTGGGCTCCACTCTATATATCCATCTCCAAGCATTTTCATTTCCATTTCCCCATCTGAATCTCGGCTGCATTGAGATCGCTGGACCATTAAAGGTCGCTTATATAATCTATCTGCATTTGCAGTGGCAGCGGCAGCGGCAGAGGCAGAAAAAACGGCAGAAACCGAAACGAGACGTCGCGTTGTCTGGCGTCTGTCTGAATCTGAATCTGAATTGGAATCTGAATCTAAGTCCGCGACTTGCTTCGAATTCGAGCCCGCAATTGCAGTCCGCTGGGCAGTCGATCGAACTACAGTGTGGCCTGCCTACAGTGGCAAAAAAAAGGGTAGCTTAGAGATATAATAAAATATTATACACCCAAGAAAAAAACTTGATATAAAACGATGATCGATTTTACGTTATGTGGTATCAGTTTTGACTTGATATGCTCGAAATGTAATTTTAAGCGCGGTTAAAGCGATATGCCAGAAATTTACCATGCGCATATCGATTTGACCGCGACGTGTTTCTTTTTAACAAATCCGAAATTTTATAAATTATTTTATAGGATTTTTGTTGCCAATTTTAAAACAGAACACTTATTAAGTAATAAGTTTTGTTCTTTAAATGTTTTAAACTTTTTTTTTTAACATTTCGTTTTTAAAGAGGAGCCACTGTAAGCCTTTGTCTATTGTTCGACTATTTTTGCCTGACCAGACTGTTTATCTTTATCATTTGCGCATACTAAATACATATACATATCCGCATTGTTGCAACTGCTGCTGGTTCAGTTTTTCCTACCCCCTCAACCCCTCCACCCCTTTTTCCCTTCCATCAGGGCAGTCAACCACTTCATAAATAGCAACAATAACAATAACTACAACATCGACAACAACAATCACAATTAAGCAAACAAACGGCACAAGACGAAGAGGAAAATCGTAGGAAAATGTGGCCAGGAAAATTAAAAAAAATAAATAAGGGGCTCTTTTCAGCAGGTTGGATATCGGGTGCAATTGCATTCTCGGTTTCGTTTGCCATTGTTTCGATCCTAAGAAAAAAAGAAGAAAAAAAAACCGAACCAAAACCGATTCGCTTCAATCGATTGCGCTTGGGCTCTTGACGCTAATGTGAATTTATGTTACCCCGCCACGCCCACTTAACAAGCCTCGATTTCGATTTCAGCCGATTTCCAGCGATTTCCTCGCATTTCCACCGATCTGATCTGTCTGCAGGTCTTTCCACAGCACCCCAGCTATATTGCATTACATCTCTGGCTCCGATCAGCACTTGAACTAATTGTGGTATCGATTATGGCCTGTCAACCGATTCCCCCCTCCCCAGTCGATCGCGATTTCGATTTTATGGCCCCCCGAGCACTTGTCACTAGCCACACCCAGAAAAAAAATGGAAAAAACTAAGGAAAACACAGAGGAAAAATATCCCTGAAACTGTAAAAAAAAATCCCTAAAAATTGAACAAAACATCCTTAACATTTAGGAAACATCCCTAAAATCTAGAAAAACCGCTAAAATGTAACAAAATGTCCCGAACATTTAGGAAATATCCTTAAAATTTAAACACACAGGAAAAATATCCCTAAAATCATAGAAAAACCCCTGCACATATATGTAATTTATATTTTTAATTTTTGGAAATGGATTTAAAGAGATATTTTTGAAAGGAATTGGGCCAAGTTGACCTCCAAAAATTACCCATATATTTTCATATTTTTTGTATATTTTCCCCACTTTTCTTGGTGCAGCTAAGCAGATACTTCCTTTGCAATAAAAATAAAAATGGAAACCAAAAGCAGAGGGTGGTGTCGCGAGGTGGTGCACCAATTATTGTAATTTTTCCACCGCTTTTCCTCCCATTTTTGCATATGGCTTGTCAAGTTGCCTTGCGAGTTGATTTTTAATGATTCGCTAACGTGGGAAATCTTTTGCTTTTGCAGCAACACACATTTTCCTTGGATCATTTTTCCAGCAATTCAGTTGGCAGTCTTCCATGCATTTGCATTTTGTTGTTAGCCGCTTGTTATTTCTAATTTTTACACGTTTTTTACGGTTGTTGTGCATACATTTTTCAGATTGCCGCAAGTAATCGACTTATTGTTGCAAGTTGCCAGTTGCAAGTTGCTGCTGCTGGCAGTGGCGCCTTTGTGTTATGTTAATCACATAATTAAATCAAAACTTTCTATGATTTCCGCGGGTGGTATATGTATATAATTGAAAAGGCAGGGAGCGAAAGGAATTTGGGATTAGCTGCGGAATTATGAATTATGAATATGGAAATGGAAATGGATCGGAATCACATTTACACATAGCTTTCGCTTTCATTTCTCATCTTCTGTGGCCATCGGGTCGTATACTTAATGTGTGAGAGGTCAATTCTTTGGGGTGCAATTAAAATACAAATCTACTATTGCACAACAAATCCGCAATCGATAATCGAGTGAGTAATCCAGTGACGATGTCAATCCACTGGTATCTACACCCATCCATCAATATATCATCGTGTGCGAGGAGAACTCACTGTGATCTCACGCTGGTGGCAATTTGTTGGCCAATGTTTGAAGGCTTGGACATGCCAATGATGATGATGATGTCACTTGATTGGCTCACCCACGATCTGTGGAAGCAATCAAGTTCAGAACACTCCGACTGATCACTGTCTTGACATGAACTGTCAAACCCACTTCGTCACTGGGGATCTGATCACAGCGATCTGATAGTTAATCTAACTGCCTTTCTTGCCTAAGAATGTGTGATTTATTTAAAATCTAAGATTATCAACCAGATTAGTCTTAACCTGCGGTTATTTATTTAACCTCTGGTTATTTAAATTCTTTCTAATAAATACTTATTTTTAAAAGGATATTTATGGTTTCGATGTTATATATAGAATGTACAGCTAATTCCATTGTTTAATCTGAAGATTAACCCCCGGTTATCCATTTTGCATACCACGAAATATAAAGAGAGGTTATTTTTAACCCGTGGTTCCTCGAATTCTTGGGACCTTTTTACTGATAAAAACTTATAAGGCTATTGAAAGTTAAATTTTAACCTCTGGTTAGCCAGAATCTAGGATCTAGTTAATGAACTCACCTTCTTTGGTTATAGCTTCTGTATCGCAATTGCTTGCCGTGGCCTCGTTGCTCTCCTCGTCATCTTTGGGCTCGAATTCGACCTGCGAAGTATCAATGTCGTAGAAGTTAACGCGGGTCACGTGACGCACGTAGTCAGTGGTGCTGGTGGTGGTGGTTGTGGCGTTAGTAAAGCTCCCGTTGGGCAGTGACGATTGGACGCGGAAGATGATCGGTTGATTTGGGGCAGGGGCATAAACGTTCGATGGCCAATGGATGCCCAATCCATGGGTGCGCGGTGGCTTGGGCACGGCATTCGCAGGCGGTTGCAGGGGCAACCATCTTCCATGGCCAAAAACCTTGGGCAGTGGTGGTGCTGTGGTGCTATGACTATGACTAGGTTGCTGGGGGTAATGCTGATCCTGCTGATCCTTTTGTTTCTCTTTCTGTTTCTGGTGGTGCAACTGCAGATATCCAGCCGGAATGGCTGTGTCGCCCGTGGATGCCGATGAAGATTCATTGCTGCTCCGGGAATCTCCACTATTGGCTTGTGGTGGTTCTGGTGGTTGGAGTGCTTGTTGGTGGTGCTGATGATGCTTGGGTGGTGCGTGGGCGGGTTCGTGGGCGTGGCTGCTGCTGCTGCTGCGGCTGCAAGTGCATGGCGACAGTAGGAGGATCACCACCATTCGATCATCTGACGCGGTGGCGGTGGCAACGGTGGCTCTGCTTTAACTGCCGACTACATCTGCTCGCCCTCCTCATGCACCTCCTGCCCTCCAGTTCTCCGCCCAGTTCCCGTTCCGATTCCACTCCCGCTTCCAGTTCCAATCGCTCCAGTTTGTGGTATTGCTCGGCGGCAAGTCCAGAGCTCGCACCACATCGCAGAGCGCGATTCACGGCTCCAGCTTGCGATGATTAAGCCCGGATTCTGAATCGAAAGTCAAGGGAACCCAGCGCGCGAAGAGATAAGAGATGAAGAATGGCGAAATAGACAGGAGAATCAAGACCCTGGTTCAATTTTTGACTCTAAAAATCTACATAATTTAAGATTTAACCCTAGTTTAACCCCAGGCTAACCCTTACCATCTTGGCTTAATATTAACTGTAAGAAAGTTAGGATCCAGCTTTAAATTAGACTCTAAAATTCTACCTAAAGTCAAAAATTAACCCTAACTTAACCCTAGTTTAACCCTAGGTTAACCCTTATAATCTTTGTTTCATATCAACTGTAAGGAAATTAGGAACCAGCTTTAAATCCGAGAGCACAATAATTTTTAGACGTGCTATTGTTTATTTTCCATTCATAATCATATTCATATTCGGTTTCTGGATAGTTAGTACTCCTCCCTGCTTTTCAGTGGGCGTTAAGTTCGCCAAGCGTTAAGTTCAGAACGGTTCTGCGAGCTCATTAAGCCGCCGAGACTAAGGGCCATAAATGGATCTGGTATTTGAGCCAAGATATCTGCTTTTGTACACAGAGTCGATTCCACCCATCATATTTCTATTTTGTTTCTCTTTATTTAGTTTGGACAACAAAACCAAAATACAGGCCGAAAACCCAAAAGGGCAACGTGCACAGTTCAAGGCGGTGAAATGGAAAATGGAAGTGGAAATTCGGACAAAACAAACTTTTGGGCTCACTTTGGAATTAACTGGGCTCTCAAAAGGCGGCCAAAGGTCAGATCACCAGACCCAGGGCAACAAAAACAACAACAACTACATGGGGCTATGTGGCCTGTGAAAATGTTGTTGCCCTCTCTGATTGCAGTTTCTGTATTGGGGAATATAGACACCAAAAATATCTGGCTGGATTAAAATTCACTCAGAAATAAAAAATTTAAAAATAATAATTGTCAACCCAATTTCTTTATCATTACGAGATTCTATCTATGAGTTTCCTCTGAGGGCTATAAAATATTCAAATACTAACTGTTATAGCCCGTTTTTAACCATCATTTTAGAGATAGCAAACTAAATATCTGCCAAATTTCCGATGCTTCCTACGGATGTGACCCAGACGCCAAGAATCTCTCTCACAGAGGCCGCTCACAAATTCGTTGGTGCGAGAAAACGATTCTTGAATCGATAATTAGGCGAACGAACAATAAATTTCGACCGGGTTGACTGGCTGATTTTCGCTATTTTTTTTAGATTTTTAGCGGACGATTGACGGCGATGACGTCAGGCCGCCACAACAACACACACACAGTCTCTTAATTGTGCTGCAATTTGGCCATTTTTGTAATTGCTTCCGGTCAAATCGATTTGTTGTTTTGTAAAAGGGAATCGATGGTAGCCAAGCGGCTTTAAAATATGGAAGAGAAGCTTCTGTGTTCGGTTTGTCTGAATGCCGCTTAAGGCGATGCCTCCTCTTTTGTCACAGGCTTACTTGGGCTTAAAAAAATTGGGATGGGGGTGGGGTTGGTGGATCGTCACGCCCAGCCATGAGTCACCCCATTGAAAAATCTCGCTTGTTTTCGGGGGGAGCTTAGCTGGAGTTTTGGAGTTTGGAGTCGCAGCTTTGGCAAACTTTGACAATTCCTAATGCAATCGCAATGCCTTTTACTTGACCCAAAACAGCAACAGCAGCCAAACACTGAGAAAAGCACAAGAAGATTTGCTAATAAATGAAATAATTGCATTATTGGATGGGAAACATGGTCACACTGGTCACGTAGTGTGACCAAGAATTAATTTAAGGCACAGGAATCACTCAAATCCTTGGTAAAAACCCTTACTTGTAAATGAAAATTGGTTTTAACTTTATAATAAAATTTAAATTAATTGTGTCTTTTTTTTCCTGTGCTACGGCAGCAACTTCATGTATGAAGGCTTCGAGCTGAGCGATCTGAGCAGCAACAACACAAGTTGCAGCCGAGCCCACAAGTCACGCACTGGTCAACGACGAATAGGTATCCGAAAACAACTCCCAGCCAATCCCCCAGTCCCCAAAAAACCCCCCTGCCCCTGCCCCTCCTCCCAAAACCCCTTTTCCCACCGGCACGTTGTAGTTGCATTTAATTCACGCCTTTTGGCCATACAAAGACATTGAATTGTGGCTGCTGTCTAAAAAAACGCAAGACAGGCCAAAAGAAAAAAAGTGTTTCTCCTTTTAGAAGAGCGGGAAAAAATCTTAAATAGTTCACCCACAACAACCACAGACGGACAAACAAGTTGAACATGGCTCAGAAACAACAATAAACAACGAGGCAAACAAAACTCAGCCACACATAACCAGCAAACTAACAGAAAACTAACAGCCAACAACAACAAAGACAACAATAATAATAATGGCAGTAGAGAAAACAACAACAACTGCATTAGTTGTGGGTGCTAGTGAAAAACCCCACCCCCACCCGCAAACAACACTTCACTCAACCCCCTTTATAAGTCCATACACTGAGAAAACTAAGGTGTTATTAATTAATTTCAAAGATTTACAATGAGTTACGGGTCATATCATTTCTTAAGGTATTTTTAAGGGAGATACAAAAGGCATTTGAAATTTTTTTGAAGACCTCAACCAAATATATTTAGATTTTATAGGATTAACCCGGTTAAAATATTTTTTATGATTTTTTTTATTCAAAGATATAGTTTAAAGTATTTTGAAGACTTCAACCAAATATATTTTGATTTAATACGATTTTTCCCTGTTTAAATATTTCTTGTATAATTTTTTAATTTAAAAATCGAAACTAAAAATAATCATAAACATATTGAAATCGCCCTTTTTTGTTCTCTGTGCACTGTCCAACACTTTGTGTGCAGGCTTTGATTTGTTGTTATATGTGAGTGTTTCTCAGGCCTTGTTGTTATATTGCCTGATCTCTCGGACTTTGGGGGTCTCTTAATGGTGGGAAAATATTTACGTGGCCCCTTGAAAGGGGGGTAGGGGGAGCAAGTAATGCAGGGGTGTAGTGGAGGGGGCAACAAAGTTGCAATATATTGCACCAATATTACATAGAACTAATTTCCTGGGCCAACATTGCGTATACGCGATGGGCCATGTGGGTTCGATGATGCAACACGCAAAGATCAACAAAATGGCAACAAAATAGAAGTACAAACTAAATTGTTTGGCAAATATGCAGCCGAACAACAACAACAAATGTCACGACAACGAATGGGGCAGCAAAACGAAGCGAAAATATACGAAACGAACGACGAAGCAAAAAGCCCGAGTTAATGATTAATTTTTTGCACGTATACGCCACTTGGGCCGCGATCTTTCAACGGGAATGGGAATGGGTCGCATAAAAATATATATCTCTATATATTCTGCACAGCACAAAAAGTATCGCTTTTTAACGAGGGGAGAAATTCGATGCCTAGTTATTTACCATAATCTATTTTTCCAAATTCGTTGGCCCAGTTTCTTTAACTGGGTTTCTTGAGATTTAACCTAAGCCGGTACTCACTAAAAACTATTAATCTAACCTGTATTAGATGCTTTTAATATTATTATTTAAAAATTGAGGATTAAATCGTGGTGTTTTGAAGATCCCAGATCTCATTCAGCACTTCTTGCCTATTAAGAATTTAAAAACTCTAGTTTACTTTCTTTTAGTTTTAGAACAAACTAACATTTTACATTGTGTTAAGATATCTATGATATCAAGTTCTTGAGACCTTTTCTATATTTATAATTCGCTCATAGATCCCTTGAACTTTCATATCTACAGAATTTTATAGCCAAAATACTTGGTATGCCGACTTAAGAACAAGTTCTTTGGCAGGTATTTTTTCCCCGAGTGTAATTGAACCCCCTGCTCACCCTTCTCTCTATCTATCTCGCTCACTCTTTATCTCTTGCACTGTCACACTTTGCACTTTGCCTTTGCCATTCAGGCAATTAGTGCAAAAAACCACACGAACAAAAAAAGTCAAGTGCAACGCGACAATGAACAAACAAAAAAACAATAAAACAGAATACGAATACAATTAAATTTAGATCGATTCCGCGGGCCTTTCAATTTAAGCGGTTGTGTTAAATGAAGCGCCAACGAAATGGAAACCGAAACGGAAAAGCGAAAAACGAAAAACGCTGGAAAACCGAGAAACGGAAAATGGAAAATGAAAAATGGAAAATCCGAATGGAGAGCGCGATCGCGAGCGGCGTGTTCGATGGCGCGTCTGCGACTGCTGGCCGTCGGTAACTGCACCGTTAGTTTGTTACACCTGAGCTGAAAAACTTTTTTTATTTCTGTATTTTTTTTGTTGTATTTTTGGCCTCAGTCGCCGCCGCAGTCGCTGCCGACGTCGACGCCAGCAGCCATTCATTGTTTTTGCCCGCTCGGCGAGCTTTACTTTGCCTGAGCCACCTTACGCGATTAACGTGGCCCGAATGTGAGTACATTTCCAGCCAAACGGGGGGTACAATTGCGGTCAAAATAATGGTGGAATTTTTTCAAATTGAATTTCTTATGAAGATGATAAAAAAGGAAGTTCTCATACGGAATAATGTGAAAAGAAGCATTTTTAAAGGTGTCGAAAAGTATGCTGTATTATATTATATATGTTTGCATACTTTCAGACACCTTTTTCAGAATTTTTTCTACAAAATTTAACTTTTGAATAAATTTATTAAATATATACAAAATATATATCCTTAATATTTAGAAAAATCGAATACTTTTCATTTTATTTATTTATGAACCAATATAACAAACTTCATTTTTTTATATTTAAAAAATTCACTATAATTTTGACCGCAACTGTAAGTAATGTGATTGTAAGTTGCATGTGGGTTAAAGGGGTGGGCATTGGGTGGTTTAAGGGGTTCCATCTAGCACTCACCAGTTCGTTTTGTTCGTCTTTGGCGCCAGCTTTTGATTTGATGGTTTTGCTTAAAGCCATAGCGTTTTTTTCAGATTTTTCACATAAATATATTCGAATATATTTCGATTTCTTCTCGTTGACG